GGAAACAATGGTGCTGAATTTGGTTGAGGTAATCCAGGTGGTGGGAAAAAAGTGCGATTTTGATTTGACCCATTTGTCTCATGGTCCGTTTCAGTTGAACTAGAAAAATTTTCATTTTGTGCAGATAATGCAGCTTGTTGAACACCATTTGTTGAAAAATTTTCTTCTGAAGTGGTTGAGTTTGGTGTGTTTTCAGATGTTGATGCAGCATGTGATGCAGAAATATTGTTTTCAATTGCTGTAACACGAGGATTAGCCTTGGTTTTTCTGGCTGGTTTTCTGGTTTTGGTTACTCTAGTTGTTGAAGAGGTTGAAGAGGTTGAAGAGGTTGAAGAGGTGTTTCTTCTATTGGAGTTTCTTGTGACAGCCATTGTTTCTAGTTGATGTTGATTTAATGATCACTTGTTTTATTTTATTCGTGGTTTTAACCTGACAGAATATCCTCTACTGTGTGTATATAAGGTAATTCCGATGTTCTCTTAATATACATATAATGTTACAATTAGTGGATTCTTGATTCTTCTTATAGTTGATGTGAAATGTTGAGTATTGATGAATTGTGCATAATTGGTTATTCTGGTTATGTAATACCTGACACCATCACTAAAAATGTGCTCGCTACCGATTTCTCCCTCAAACGTCAAAAATTGTGTGATCGGTTGTTTTTTTTTTTTTTTAATCCTTTCTTGCCTGATGGTTCTAAAAATTTATTACAAATTGTTTGAATAACAAAGAGAAACTCACTTGATACGGTACTAAACTGTTAGCTTTCCAAGGAACATATTTTGGAAGTGAAGATGATTGGGCTGCCTAACCTTAAAGACTACGACGTCTCCCCAAAGACTGGGTTTTTACCAGAAGAACTGCCTCTCACAAGATTGACATCCGAATATTACAAACCATGGGAATCATTAGTTGAGGTTTTACCTTCGTTAATATTGACCAAAAGAATAAGAAAGTTGGTGGAAAAATTACCAGTTTTAAGCATAGATCAGATTAAAGGTGATAAAAAAGAGTTGAGAAGAGCTTATTCAGTTTTAAGCTTTTTGACACATGCTTATGTATGGAATGTTGATGTTCCAACAGATACTTTACCAAAACCTTTGGCGGAACCATTACTTGAAGTTTCCAAAATTTTGGAACTACCACCTGTTGCTACTTATTCTGGCTTGATTTTATGGAATTTTAAACCAATTTTAGATATGGGTGAAGATGAAGAATTTGATTTAGACAATTTGACCACTATAAACACATATACCGGATCAATCGATGAAAGTTGGTTTTACCTTGTCAGTGTCTATTTTGAATATAAAGGTGCACATTGTATAACTGATGGATTGGATGCCATTAAGGCCATTAGAGAAAACAATAAGGAGAAAGTCATAGACAGTTTACAAAAATTGGCTGAATCTATTGATAGATTGGGATCAGTTTTGATGAGAATGGAGGAAATGTGTGATCCTCATACTTTCTATTATAGAATTAGACCATATTTAGCTGGTTGGAAGAATATGAAAGATGCTGGTTTACCAAATGGGTTGAAATATGGAGATGAAGGTCATTATAGAAGTTATGCCGGTGGCTCAAATGCACAATCTTCATTGATCCAAACTTTGGATATAATGTTGGGGATTGAACATTATCCAACTGGTGAAAAGAAGGATTCGTCTTCTTCGAAATCAATATCTTCATTATCTGGCCAAAATAATTTTATGAATGAAATGAAAACTTATATGCCAGGTCCTCATCAACGTTTTTTAAATCATCTTGCACAAGTTGCTAATATCAGAGATTATGTCGCTGAGGTCCAAGACCCTGAATTAACACTTTCTTATGATGCTTGTTTAGCAATGCTCAAAGCTTTTAGAGATAAACATATCCAAATTGTTACAAGATATATTATTTTACAAGCGAAATTATACAAGAAGGCTGGTTCTTCGAACACTTTGAGATCAGGTATCTCCAAAACTGCAGAAAAGACTGAACAAAAGGGTACTGGTGGTACTTCTTTGATTCCATTCCTCAAACAATGCAGAGATGAGACTGGTGATTTAGCTGCTGGTAAATGGGGTAAAAAAATCTTGTCAGCTGGTGTTTTGAATAGTAGATATACAAGTAAAATGGAGATTGAAGATGATGAAACAGAACATGTGAATAAGAAGGCTAAGTTAGGCTTAGCAGGATCCTGGGTTGATGGTGGTGAAGAACAAACTGGCCATTGGTGATCCTCTTTTATATAATATATTTACGAATTCTACGATGTTGTTTAACCTTTGTACAAAATACTTAATTTTCATCTATAAACCTTTAAGTAAACGAGTAACTTCATCAACACCTTCAACACCACGAGCTTCTGTTAATTTTTCTTGAACTTTAGAGACAACATCTTCAATTGGAATAACTTCACCATCATCATTAGCAAATTCTGGACCCAATCTTTTAACTCTTAATTTACCTTCCAAATATTCTTCTTTACCCAAGATAACAGCAACTGGAGCACCTGATTTTTCAGCAGATTCAAATTGTTTTCTTGGATTAGCCTTAGCTTTATAAACATATTCAGATTCAATACCTGCACTCCATAATTGTTTAGCAATCTTCATACGTTCTGGTAAATAACCTTTCCAATCTGGACCACCACCAAAGGCCATGATAAACACTTGAGTGGCTGTTGGTTTGATGTTTATTTGTTTGTTTTGAGCTTCACGTAGTTTGATTAATGAAAAAATTCTTTCAACACCAAATGAAATACCAACACATGGAATTGATTGATTTTTTTTACCATTAGCAGTAGCAAACATATTAACTAAATTATCATATCTACCACCAGCTGCAATTGAACCGATACCAACATATTCTGAAGCATCTTCATCATCAGATTTTTTGTTTTTCTTCAATTCTGAAGCATTAGAAGGTGGCGCAGAACCTTGAGTAACAGCTTCATAAATTAAACCAGTATAATAATCTAAACCTCTAGCTAATGATAAATCAAATGATAAGTGTTTTTCTAATTCAAATGCTTGAACATATGTTAATAGAGTGGTCATTTCATCAATACCTTGTTTAGCAATTGGGTTTGCCAATAATTCTTCTTTTTGACTCAAGATTTCTAAAACTTCACTTAATGAACCGTTTAATTTAACATATTCACCAATTTTATCAGCAACTTCTTCTGGTTGATTTTTTTCATCCGTCATTTCCTTTTTAACAGCTTCCCATGGGTTTTTATCTAGTTTATCAACTGCACTTGAAACTTTTCTAATATCTTCATCTTTAACACCACAAACTTGGAAAAGACCATCCAATATCTTTCTATGATTTATTTTAACTTTGAAATCATGAATACCCAACCCAGTTAAACCTTCAACAACAATAGCCAAGATTTCAGCATCTGGAACCATTAAATCGTAAGAACCTGCGAAATCGATATCACATTGATAGAATTCTCTCATACGACCTTTAGTCATTGCAGGTTGATCACGACGATAAACTTTAGCGATATGATATCTTTTGATATTTTGAATGTTGTTCATAGCAACATATCTTGCGAATGGGACAGTTAAATCATAACGTAATGAAGTCAATTCACCACCTTGATCTTCTAAATTATAAATTAATTTTGAATCTTCACCATATTTACCAGCTAAAATTTCACGCAATTCGAAAACTGGGGTATCAATAGTAACAGCACCGTGACGTTTGAACAATTTAGATAGGGAATCGAAAACGGCTTCTCTAATAACCATATCTTTATCAGCCCAATCCTTTGTACCTTTTGGAACTTTCAATTGAAATTGTAATTTTGATTCCTTTTTGGAAGGTTTAGTGGCAGCTTTAGCAGCACCTGAAGCAGCAGCTTGTGCTGTAGCCAAGACATCGGTTTTTGGATCTGTAGACATGGTTCTCTTTATCAAATTACTAAAGAGCCTCTTAATGATCATAAAGCTTCAAAATAGATCAATTGTGAATGATTTTTTTTTCCAACTTATCGTTCAATTCAATTTTTTTCCTTTGACTCAAAAAAAAAAAAAAAAAGTGGCCGGGGCTTCAAACACTACGATTTTGAATACACTTTACTTTTAACATATAGTACACAATTTATTTAAATTTCTCATTAACCACAGATTCACCATGTTCTTTGTATTCCTGGTTGGTGATGTAGTGGTTCTCAAAGCTATTCATGGAGGCAAGAACACCAGCACCAATCCAAACGGCATTATTTCTTTCAATTAGATTTGGATTCGAGAAACTTTGAATGTTGAAAGTTGTCAAGAATCTTGATAGATCACTTATCAATCTGTTTTCCAAACCTGGTAATAATGAAGTACCACCAGTCAAGACAATATTGTTTAATAAACTTGTATAAATATCTTGTGTAACATCCAACTTCTTCAATGCACTGAGGATTAATTCTGTCAATCCTAGTGATTCTTTAGATAATTCAACGCCTGGTAATTGATAAGATAATGGATGGAATAGAGGTTCAGCTAATAAGACTTGTTCCTTACCTATTTCAATGGATTTACCATCAGGTAATTGATATGATTTAGCACCTATCGAAAAATCAGCACTTGCATTAACAATTGGGTAATTTGAAACTGAAATTATGGTTGATTTAAAATCATTCAAGATATTGTTTATTTGGAAAGTCTTGAAAGATTCTGTACCTTTAACATAATCAAACCCTGTCTTAGTTTCCAAATACTTTAAAATGTGTAGATTCAAGAAATCACCTGCAAATTTTGAATGAACAGCACCTTTATACAAGATTGTACCATCCACGATCGGTGTGATACTAGTCTTTGAGCTACCAATATCAATAACTAGGGAAGTTGATCTTCCTAAACCATAAGTGATAGCGATTGGTGATTTCAAAATTGTGAACACTGGAACATTGAATTTTTCAAAAGCAATTTCAGATAACTTTAATCTATTTTTTTTGTTATTCCATAGTTCTTCAGTTATAACTAATGGGAATTCTTTTGGATCAACTTGTAAATTTTCGAAAATTTGTGCCCAGTTTTGTTCCAATGCATCCCAGTTGTATACTATTCCTTCATTAACAATTGTAAATGTTTCACTATCCTGTTGGATATTATCATCAAATTGATATTTTGAAGTGTTTGGATCTTGAGAATACACGGTTGGGAAGATTAATGAAGGTAATGTCTCTGTGGAAAAGCCAGCTCTTGTGGTGTGTGAGCCGTTCTCTATCACAACTGATGTTATGTCTGGTGTGGATGTCATGATCTCAAAAGCGGAAACGTTTGGATAGATGATTGTTTAAAACTTGTTGTTTTCTCTGATTATTGTTTTGATCAAGTTTTCGAAAACGCCAATTCCCAAAGCTTTTTTTCAAGAAATTCGCGAGACCATGGGAAAAACAAATTATTTTGGCGAACGTAACTGAAAACATCAACATCAACAGGAACCTTGATCGTTTGGATAAATTAACAATGGCCACTGATAATCTCAAAGAATATGAAAAGCTGAAGAAACAGCTTCAACAAGCCATTTTGAAGAAGAAGTCACTGGACAAACAAATAACACAGATAGAGGAGGATATATTTCAAAAGGAAACAACATATTTATCAGAGTCCAACAACTCCAATATCGTTAGAGGGTTTGAAAGTTTGAGCAAGTTGAATGCAAGTAACATCAACAAGAAAAAGCTGGTCTTCACAGATGATGATAGAATATTCAGTCTGAGTAGTCATACTTTTGTAAGACATCTACAAAAGAAGAGTGAAGAAGATGATGATGAGAGTAATGAAAGTACACCTGTTGCTAGTGCAAATAGTGGGAAGAAGAGGAAAAGAAATGAAGAATGAATAGGTTATATTTTGTACATTAGTTGGGTATTATTATAATGAAATGACATGACACAAGGTGTTTTTCTCTGGTTTAAATGGGAATGGAGTAGAATTGTAAAGAGTTGGTGTAATATTAAAAAGCGATGAATAACAGAAATACCCTAGAGAATACCTTTAAAAGGCTCTCACTATGAATGATTAAATTGATGTAATTGATTAATCTTTTAAATTCTTCTGACCTATTGATTACATAACATCCAGTAATAAAGCGTGAAAAAAAAAACATCAACACACAATTTCTCGAGACCTAGTACTATCAAAGCATATCAACAAATCCATATTCAACCTACAAAATGAAACCTCAATTACCTCTTCTCAATGCTCAGCCTACCCAAAGAATCATCCCACAAATCACAAAATCATCAATAATCCCTCTTCAACCTTCTCAGCCGATTCATATTCATCATAACAAGATCCTTAGTATAAAGACAGAATCACTTTCCAAGATTTCCTCAAAGACTCAATATAACAATCCATTGGGATCATTATTATATGGTGGGTTTTATTTGAAATATCGTAAATTTGAAAGTATAATACCTTCAGAAATCTTACTAGCTGGTCAAAATAACAATAAATTAAGATTGGATGGATTAATAGATTGGGCAATTTTCCCTAAGGATGCCTTGATTAGTTATTCGGGCGTTGCACTAAATGTTTCATTACACAAAATACCATGGGGGTCTGGATTAAGCTCATTGTTGAAACTGGGCTATTTGCACATTTCAGGTCGTGGTGATGTTTATTTACAAAATCATGGGGAAATTTATACGGTAAATCTTGGAGAAAAAGAAGAAATTATTGTTAGAAAGAATGGTGTTGTTGGTATAAGTGTCAATGGTGATGAATTGGGTAGTTGTTGTGATGCAGTTGCTTTAAGTAATCATGAAGTTCAAAAAGAGAGTCAAGAAGTTGTTGCAGGAAAGAGTGAAAATGAATTGAAAGATTTATTTTGGAATACTTATCATGGGATTGGTAAAACTTTGAGATATTTAGTTGGATTAATAGCTAAAGATGATTTCGTCAAAGTTAGAGGCCCAAGAAGTTTGATTTTAACTAGTAATGTTTCCACCAAATTTGAGTTCCCAAGAAGAGATAATGAAATAGAAATAACTGAACAACAATTGAATAAATCATCTCAAGATTATTTGAGTTATGTTACTGTTAAGGATGGTAAAGTCACATTTGAAAGTACACCATCATTTAAAGAGACTGTTGAAAAAATTGAACGTAAATAGAAGAAATAATAAATACAGATATTCACATGATATTCGTTCTGATTATTCAGCATATTCTCACTCATACGTTACGTTATTCTTTGGACAGTTTATTTTTATACAAATTAACCTCAAACAACATGAAAAAGCATACAAATCATGCAAGCATCACAGATTCATAGGGAACAGTTGTCTGAAATAAAACAGTGGTTACAGGGGTGTTCAAATACCCGTTGCTTTATGAGCTAGCTCATGATGAAAGGAGTGTACCGGTTCAATCAAAAATCGACAAGTCAATCTTCCATAGACTGGTAATTGAAACTTAAAGTACAGATCAACAATAAAGTTATGTGCGACATCCCCAGAGAAAAAGTCAAGAAAACTTTTAATCTTCTACAACAACACAAGGTTGTACTGAAAAGCTAAATTCTAATACTCTATTCAAAACTGTAATCATCATTGGATGTGGTGAGCTGTACCTTTGTCTCGTATCAATTGTACACAGAGTTCTTCTTGGACAGGAGTCAGGAGTAGCCACATATTGCAACACCAGGTTGCGTCTTTGTTCCCACGGTTGATTTACTGAAGGCTCAAGCCAGAAGATATCAATACAGTAAATATCGCAGGTGAAGGTTGCTAGAAGAGAAAATGACTTCACTTGTTTGAACTTTCAATACTGTACTAGTAGATTCAATTAATTTAGGCGTCAAAGATTTTATTCCAGCTAATTTAAGGAAACCTGTCATTTGACTTGAGGTCACCGGTATTGTCTAAAACAACTGCTAGGAGGCCTAAAAGCTGGCCAAAGAAGCTTTCAGATCAGTTGAAACTTGAAGCCAGATCAAAGGTTAGTTTCATCTAATCGCTGGTACGCTGCTCGTGTATCGAAACGCGGTCGAACACAGCAGCTAACGTGGTGTAATTTTATAGTGCCGGTTCTGGTGGTTCACCCTATGACTCTGGTACTAGTAGTAGTGACGTCCCAACTCAATATTAAGTATTAGCGACAGACGTTAACGAGTGAATAATCAGTACATCTAAACGCTGATTAATGTAAATAAGAGTGCAAGTGCCTTTTTTTAGTCATTAATGTTATAACTTGAAGGTTTCATGAAAGCTTTGTTACTCTTCACCGAGACGTTAGTTGTCTGTTTATGATAGCTGAAAAGACTTTGACACATTCGTCGAGTATTGGTTACCAGAGATCTCGATTCCCAAGATGAAAAGCTGATCCCTTTTGGAAACCTTGAAGAGACCGATCAAGTTACAAGATCGAGCTTGAAGGTTGTTGTACATTTCAGTCATGCTTGATTGCTAAAACTCATCAATACTGTCGAACTTTGAAATCCTCAAGGGTTCTAACTTCTTAATCGACGTAGTCTTGTGTGTATGCTAGCTGTGTCATAAATAAAAATAGAAAGGCTTCTAGAATTTCAGATGGAAGGTGCTGAAATACACCTATTGTTTCAATTTTTTAAGAGGTTCAGCATGTCGATTAAAACCTAGTTCCGTCTCGAAACAAAGAATAGGAGGGAGGTTCTACCAGATAGACCCGTCAGCTTATTCAAGCTCCAAGATACATACCATCTTGTGCAGTGTACTTTGTAGAACTGAATTCATGGGCACTGGTTGGAACTTGGTACGTAATTTATCATGATCTAATTTTCCATGACAGGATGAGCTTAGCCTAGAGAAGCAACGGCTTCGGAGCAGGCGTACCTAGTTTATCCAGGCGATTCAGCAATTTAAGTGGAGTAAAAGAGAGAACAACTGGCTACAAATAGTACAAAATGATGTACAAGTTGAAGTTGGAAGGTATTAGAGAATGCTATTTGAAATTGTGGTCATTAATGCTTCATTCAATGTTAATAGATGCAATCTCCAACCACTACAACTGAGCTCATCAGAAGGTTCAGAACCCCTTGGCCAAGAGTAAGCAGGCGTAGTACAGAGTAGGGACTCCAAAAGATAGCTGCCAAGTACACTGAGTTGAACTAATTAATTATACTTCTTCCTCCAATACTTTTCAATTACGCCAGCTAGAAAGCTTGTGAAAAGTAGCCTATTTTACCTGGAACAAGCTGAAAACTAGACAACCTTTCAACACTGACGTAAATCTGACTTGACCTTACAAGTCACTCTATGCTACTATCACACTATTAGACAACTACACCAAAAGCTGATCTCTTCTACTCTAGTTCTGAACTTGGACATCCTCCCACGAGAATTTCGTGGAGCACGACGGACACGGTCTTTAGAGCCCATAAATTTAACTTCCTCCGCTAGCCGTTAACGTCTTCAAAACGTCTAGCTTTTGCGCAAGGCGTAAAGGATAAAGAGCAAGTTGATCCCGATTGCGCTCTCAAGAAGATATCATGAAGTAAAGCTCGAGAATTGGAAAGAGCGTATTGAAGAGATTGCAATTTGTAGCTCTGAGTTCTGAAATCTAATAGCTTCATCGGTGATAGAACTGAATTTTAATCCCTGATTAACTAATTCGAACAGTCTAACCATTTGTACCTTGGTTGACAGGACCCAACACACCAACCGTTGTATTCAAGAGTACCAAATCGTTAATCGCCTACGAATTGAAAATTTGCATATCATTACTGAGCTTTCATTAAAATTTGCTCTTTTCTTTCATAATACTATACATGGGTAAGCATCTTAATTCATAGATCTATTGATAATAATACATATTATAATTGTTTTGTGGTGTTGGTAATTGTTGTTGAGATCCTGAAGCCCCTCCAGATTGTAGTTGACCACTAGTACTTGATCCACTCATTGGTGATTGATGAACTTGTGAATTTGGAGATATCAGTTGTTGATGTTGTTGTTGAACTGGTGGTAAATTTTCATAATGGTCTTGATAATTAAGATTTGGTAGTTGATACATAGGATGAGTAGGAAATGGCATTGGTTGAAGTTGGTACTGTTGTTGTTGTTGCTGATGTTGTTGTTGTTGTTGTTGATGAGGTGATGGGGAAATATGAGATCCTATAGGAGGTGGTGGTGGTAAATTTTGATAAGGGAAATATTGTGGCATAAAATTTTGTGAAGTTGATGATTCTTGAACTTGTGGTAATGCAAATTGACCAAGATCTTTTGAAGATGAACTTTGATGGCCTGTTGTTGTAGAAAGTGATGAATTTGATGTTGGTAATGTTGAAGTAGTTGAACCTGAAGTGTCAGTTCCTGTGGTTCCGCCAGTGAAGCTTGATGATGCATTATGTTCAATAGTTGGGTCAATTGTATATTTGGACAGAACTTTTTGTAAAGAGTCTTTTAAAGAAGACCATAGCAACACTTTGACATCTTTTTCAATATGTCTTGGTTTAGGATTTTGGAAATTCATAATCAATTGAAAGAATTGATAAAACTTTGGATTTGATTTAGATATAGTCAAAGGCTTCAAACTTTGTAAATTCCTTCTAATCCTATTCTTTTCTTCAACTGGGAACTTAGCATTAACTAAATATTCCAGTAATGTAATCAGATCCACAGATGTAACATAAAACTTGTTAGCTTCAGCCCAATAAATACATGAAATAACAGGTGTACCAGGAATGTAATCATTTTGGTCAATTGGTTTAAAATTCAATGTTAAATGGTTGAAATTTTGTCTGAATGTTACCAATACTAATCTTCTTGAGTTTTCAATCTCTGTAGAGGTCCAATTCATTGTCATTGAGTTTATATCACCTTGAAATTCACAGGTTACTTTAACATTCAAAAATTTATTTTGTTCAACATTTGAACCACCAGGACCACTTTGATTGATAATGTTACTTCCACTAACATTCTGTTCCAATTGATCATTAGTTAATGAACTGGCTCTAACTAGTCTAGGATATGAGACTCCTGGATAATTTGGTAAGGATATATGTCTTTGGAATGAATCAATTTGTGAACGATCTCCAGTTGTATTGTTGTAATGCATAGGTTGTGACGGTACTTGATAATGAGGTTGTTGGTAAATAGGCTGTTGTACTTGTTGTTGCTGCTGTTGTTGGTTATATTGATAGTTGGGTTGGTCACTATTGAACCCATGGAATGATTGTGCTTTGAATTTTTGATTAACCATTGAATATGACCATACTTAGAAGCTCCTAATATGAAGCTTTATATTTATGAAAATGACTTTCTATGTAGCACTTAAACAACAATGCTCATAAAATTGGATGATAAAATGATGGAATTGAAGGATGACTGGGTCAATATATATATGTGGTGATATATCAAACTGCTGGTATGTGGATCTTGAATGCGAAATCTGTGGGCACTAAAAATATAAACAACCTGTAGAACTACTGGATAATTAATAGGATGATGTTGATGATCAGTACGGTGCGTTTGGTAATCTGATGTTCCCAGTCTTCTCGAGTACTATAACTTGGATGAAAATTTTTGAAAGGAAACTATGCTTTATATGGATCTTTTTTTTTAAATATGCTTGATCATGTGATATGAAAATTAGACAGGATCATCACTTTTTTAAATACTCGAGCAGAAGCTGGATATATTATGCCACAAAGAGGGCCTTACATATGGGCAGCGCAGACTGACATGATTGGCAGCTAACAGCTTCTTCTTGTGAACATTTTTACAAAGCGAGTCAGGGAAGCATCAAGCAACATATTATTACGTCGTCAGCTATTATGAACTGGTTCAGGAAAGTCCGTTGCAAAAAGAGTGTTTGTTGGACATCCTCGAAAATGCCTTTCCCAGCACGCACTAATTACAATTTGTCTTCATGTACTTTCGGTGCAAACTTGAGAGCTTTGATATAGCCCCGATTAAACAACAATTCATCATCGACAGCCATTGTGTAAGTGTACTGCCATTTCGTATTTGCCTTTGGCGTCTTCGTGGGTTTACTCGGGCATGGATTGACTCTCTCGTTCATGATATCAGCCAAAACAGGCTGCAAAATTGTAGCTCTTTGAAAGACCCATTCCGCAAAAATGTTGATAGAAGTACAGCTTATATAGCCAGAGTACCAAAACTAAATATAAATCACATTCCAGTACAGGGTACACGCTACACATAATACACATAACTGAGCTGCTAAAACCCTGTCGACCTTTACAGATCAACAAATCAATTTAGTAGACGCCTGCGACCTCTTGTATCGCATTGGTGATCCGAGCTACTATATGTTGATGATAACCATGGTAAAAGCTCAAACGGAAGCCTTTCTTCCCACACCTCTTCCATACTATCTTTCCACGGCTCTTTGGAGGGAATTGAGTCCAAGTCGTACAACTTCGTAGACAGACTCCAATCGTTTCTCTTCAACCCAGTTCTTTCTTTCCTTCCTCAACCACCAAACAACAAAAAACTGAAAACTATAAAAAGGTTTTCTTAAACATGCATATCAATCTGTTGACTTTTTTTTTCGTAGCAGAACTTTAAGTATGGTAAAAACTTAAGAGTTGACTTGCAATGTCATTCGAAGTGATGCCATGCAATGCAATTTAAAACACCAAACTTAGTGTCTCTGGGTTACCCGTCATGCAAGCTTTTTAGCATTTTTTTGTAACTACTGTAACAAAGATGTGTGGGAGATAGATTCCAAAATAGAAGGACGTTAAAACCATGGGAAATAAACAAAACATTGTTGTTTTTCTAAAGAAGTTTCGGGATATACGCATCTGGTTTAGAGCTTCAATTGAGTATCGATTTAGGCGTGTCGCTCTATCATAATTAGTACTCTGGGGCTGAAAATATTCAGTAGTACACTCCGTTGTATGTTTTTCGTGGAGGCAAGATCCAGGTGTGTATCAAGAAAACCCCGTGTCTTATACCGTTAGACGGTGCTACAACACAACGTTATGTCTAACTACACTTGGTTTTAGTCGATGGGAAGACCAAATTTTAACGATGGCTCGATGGTGAACTTCCCCAGTGCTGAGTACATGTCGACTAAGACTAGTTTGAATGATTCGATAACTTCCATCGTGAGCTTTACAATGATGACATTACACTTCTCATGATACAACCACATGTGCTGATGTTGGTTTATGGCTATGTAGAACCTAGATACTTCATTAATAGTATCAGCTGGCTAGACATCTCATCTAGCAACCAGATTTTGTTTTATTTTCTTGATGTGTGTAATTAGTAACTCTTCCCCGTACTAGCCAGGTCCCTTTTTCAAATCTCGAATCTTATACCGGCCTGTTCCTTGATATGTACTCAGATAGTGTCGCCTAAAGACACCAAAACAATCCAAAAGAAAATTAATTTGTAACTGTTATTATGACATAGATCTAACACTTGCACGCTCCAGTAAATTATCCTACATAACTAGCACATAGAGTGTACCATTATCCGTCGCAAAGTATCTCTTTGTAATATAGGTGACGTCTAGATCTCAATTAATCTAAATTTGAGCCGGCATATTAATAACTTCTGAACGCTAACATGTCATGTAATTGATTGGGAAAACACGACACAAATTGTATTGGTGCCCTTCGAGAAGGTAGTGCCCGCGGGCCGTCGATGCTTTGGATCTGATGAACTCATGAACAGACAGCATTCGAAGATTATCAGAAAAGTTAGTCAACATTTGAATCACCACATCCACCATAATACGTGTCACACACTCTCATCTTTGTGAGTCGCTATATTACTTGAATCACATCAGATCCAAGATAAAAGATCTAGTTTAAAACACCTCTCCGTCTTTTCCAAAGTTCCAAACGCCAGACTCCATAACCAAGAAAATAATTCACAGGGTCAAGACTCAACAATTTGTTTCCGCCTGCGCCCACTGTCTACTTCTCATCTTTTTGACGAGCTCCCGTAAACGCAAACGCAGGCTGCTGGGTCAGCTTTTGAGCTAGTCACATGACTTTCACGTGACCGTATAATGTGGCTTGAATAAGGGAGCGTGGGCATGGTCAAAGTCCGCACAGCAAAGACCATATAATCATGTTGACAATTTGTAATACAATTCATAAAAATCTATAAAAGCGACCAATACCATTCACAATTCATTGACTTTATCCATTGTCATTCGATTGGAATCAACGTTATAACTTTCAACATCCTTTCAACACAAAAAGCATGTCATTAACTCCAAAGTTTTATGTCTCCCATTCAACTCCACAAGTTGATATATCAACAGTGTCAAATGGTATCCCACCAAACACAATTGAAGTGTACTTAGATTATGCTTGTCCATTCAGTGGCAAACTTTACAAAAATTGGTATGATAACTTATTCCCATTATTAGAAACCAAGTACAAGGGTAAATTTCAATTTATCTTTAGAAACTATGTTCAAGTTTGGCATCCAACTTCCAATTTATTACATGAAGCTAGTTTAGTATTTGCTCAATTGGATCCTTCAAACTTTTTAAAATTCAGCTATGTTTTATTTGAATTGATTGAAGAATTTTATGATACTGCTACTGCTCATTTAAGTAGAAATGAGATTTATGAAAAAATTTATGAATTGGCAGTTGCTCCACATTTTTCAACCACTGTTGATAAATCAAAGTTCTTGAAAAGTTTAGTGATTAAGAAATCTGAAGACCATCATAGTAATAGTGGTAATAAAGCCACTAATGATTTGAAGTATTTCACAAAAGTTGGAAGACAAAATGGTATTCATGTTACACCAACTGTTTTGATTAATGGGTTCAAAGATGGCTCAATAGAATCATCTACTCCAATTGATCAAGTTCAAGAAAAACTAGAAGCTTATTTGTGAGCTACTCTATGCGATCATATTTGAGTAATTAATAATTAAGAAATTTTACTTTAGCAGTACCATGATCTCACGTAGCTACTTTAAAAGTACAGCAACGCCAAAGATAAAAGAAAGATATTTCAAACGGCATTAATTCGGCTTTAAAATAGATGCTAGACTAATGTTTTTGTTTTATATCAGCTTGCAGGACAATCCTGTCTCGTTATTCCAATACTTTTTCCAAAAGCACTGTGTAGAAATTCAATGTCGATGGCTAGCTTGCTCTGTTCCTGTGAAGTACACTGCTTCGTTGTGGTCAAAAAATATCCATGACTAGTCGAAACACAATAGATTTAACTCAAACATGTCCCCATACCTGTTACTGTCACTTTCAATACTACTTTATTCTTATGATGAGCTTAGCTCTGAACTGAATTCTGACTAGCTTGTCGAGTACCTCCAAAGCTGCTAGTCAAACACGGGCAAATTCCAAATAGTTATCAGATGAAAAAAGGTGCCTGTTTATCTTGCAATCTCATCTATTCTTTCAGACAGCAAGCATATGACATTACAGGAGACAAAGGAACTGGCTCCTTCCTTCTTTCTGGACATGATGCAGTTGTCTTGATAAAAGTGACTGTACTTAGCGCGCCTATAATATTTTATGACCAGCTATTGACTTCACTACATCCAATTCCCTGAATACATTTACTTGAATTGATACTTTCTTGGTTCACTATCCATTTCTGCGCATTGTGTAATGTATGTTGCATCTCGTTTGCCTTTTGGGTCTCTTATGTTGTCTGGTCAGTACAATTGTAATTATTTGAGACATCATTTTCGCACTAAAAAAAGCATCTCGGAAAAATACGAGGAGCATGTACATTTGAATTTACTACTGTACCTGAACAAATTATATAGTCATGGTCCATTGTAGCGGTTAATCATTATACGAATTATGTACCTGAGATTTCAAGATATAACTCGAACTAACTGCTCGAATATTAAGTTGGAAAGCTGCTTTGCATTAACGGCGTTCTTTCTAGAAATTGATATTGAAACAGTACAGTACTATGTAGTACCAGTTGTACAGCTCAATATGTCTAGTAATTTGAAGTATATCTACTGTACGTTATAATGTGCGTTAACCGTAGCATGATTATCAAGCTGTGAATTGGCTTCGAACTAATATGGTCAATATGTATAGTTCAATAATTATATAATTAATATATCTCAGGCAAGATCATTGATGGAAACGAAAACTCATGGCAGGCGCCGCTAGTGACAACTAATACTAGTATAGTGCAGTTTGAACTTTGAAACAATTAATATTTAACGTCATTAATAATATTATTAATTAACATGGAAAATAAGAGCTTCATTAGACATTGCCAGTGATTCATGGCGTAATATCACTAGACTTATTAATCAATATGGGACAGTATTATAATTGCTGCTAGTGTTAAGAAAGAATGTCCGGTCTGCAGCTAGCTAGCTTGCCTTTCAAATATAACTTGCAATAGCGCCAATATCCGGCCATCAATATTATAATACGTACCAAATATATGATCTAATTGTGCTAATGGAACAAAGTTAATCAAACTCTAGCTTCAATATAACTATATTGAATCCATGCTTAATTCCACAGCTATAGAACTCATACACATCATTACAAATTACATTTGTAATATGACAAACGACGTTAACGACGTCTCAAACATTACCCAACCTCGACATATGCGCTTCTTAATCTCGAGCCATAAAGTGGCAGTATTTCCCAAATTTGGTGCTTTAGTAGCAAGTACTCGTTAAAAAGGGAGTATTTAAGAAGAGCTCTTTAATTTCCAACCCAATTTTTGCAAGCACTTCCTAATTTCTGTTCGCGGGCAGGAAATATTAAGAAGTGCTCGCTAATTTCGTTGAACAAATGAAATGCTGGAGATTATTTTTTGCACATGTTCTTCTCAAATACACCTAATTCCTAAAGTTACATTCAGTCAACATCTTCTGCTCCCAAACTATTTGAACTTTGGTAGTATAAATATTTAGTTAGATACTCCAAACTGGATCATGGCCAATTTTGCAGCCTAATTCGCGAATACATGTAAAATCCAAAGATAAACCAACATCTCTCTTTTACACACCAGAACTATCTATCCAACATCAATGACAACACAACGAGAATACACCCCTCCACCACTACCCAAATCCGCACCTATCCAATCAGAGCTTACAAACTCTGCCAAATCCAAAAGAATCCCACCTTTTTACAAATCTCATTCAAAGGACTCATCAAGTCAAAAACATAAACAACTACCTGAATTACAAACAACTACTCCATCAAGGTCCAATAATACTCAGTTTGCCATACTACCCAGCATCAAGCTAACACCTGTTGGCTCGGACTCGTATAGACATATCAAGAGTGCATCTTATGATGAAAAAGCTAATGGTAAAAAAAGATTAGTTGATCAGTTTTATGATCAATTAGGCACACCGCCCTCGAGTTCAACAAGGTTGAACACGCCTGTGTTGACAAGGAATAACACCACAACGAGTTTTGCTAATGAAAGCAGGAGTAATTTGGTTTTGAATAAGTTTGAGTTTGATAAGAAGGATGTTGAAGTTGAACAGCATAATAATGGGAATATTGTTGAGATTGGTGAGGAGATTGAAAAATTGGAGATGGTTATTGTGAAGAGGATTAAAGAACAAGTGGAATTGAATGAGGATGAGTTTGTGGATAAGATTGATGATTTCCAATCAGTGTCTCAAGATATATTGGAGATTAAAAATAGGGTTAAACAAATTATAAATATAATTGAAGATGAGAAATACAAGAGTTTCAAACAAGATTATGAATCGTTTGAAACGGAAACCAAGAAATTTATAGATTTTTTGAAAATCTTGGAATCATATGAATTGAAAATAAATAATTCAAGAGATAAGATGAATCAATACAAGAGGAAACTTTTCGATATAAGGAAAACTATTGAGTTTGGTGAAATGATGAAAGTTGTTGAGCATAAAAAATTGAAGAGTAGGAATAAATGGATCAGTATTACAATTTTGTTTGGATTTGTTTTGTTTATCTTGTATAAAGTGATATGAATGAAGTTATGAATGGAAGTTATGAATGGTTTGTAGATATGTTACACTGGTGACAGATTTCACATTTGAACTATCTGAAAAGACTATTTAGATATGTAACCTAGGATCATGAAACAATATTACACTTCAGTTTATAAAGGGATTAGATTAATGATAATATCACAATTGAGGCAGGAAGTACACTCTCTATATAAAAAGACAATGGCCAGTGCCTCAAACCCCTAACCATATAATTAAAAGTAATCTTCACAAACCTCTTAAACTTCAACATCAACCTCAACAAACAATGGCACCAATGTAAGTATACACCCTTATAACCACACTATCCCACAACTAACATCCACCCCCAAGAACAACATTCATCAAAATCTCACCAAACACCACAATCCCACTCCGAATATTCATCAACAGGAAATCCATAATCCAACAACAGCAACAACAATATTTCGAAACTGCGATATCATCAGCCCAAACCGTCAACCATAGAGCATTAGTCCGTTTGAGAAGCACCACGAGGTTAATCCTATCGAATAGACAGATAAGGTCACTAGTGGCGAGTTTACAAGCGGAACTATGTATGATTTTATTCGAGACTAGCCCGGAGAGTTTGATTATGAAGAATGAAGGTGATGGTAAAGAGAGGTTGAAATTTAAGGTAGATGTGGATGGTTGGGAATTGTATGTTAATTTGGTGATGGGGGATGTTATGGAGGTTAGGAATATGATGAAGTTTGGTGAAGTGGATAAGAAAGAGTATAATGGGATGGAGTTGTTGATAAGGAAGCCTAGAGAGGTTAAACAGAGGGAGGAACAGGAAGAGGTTAGTTTGTTGCAAGAAGGTGAGGATGAGGAAATGAGGATACCTGAAGAAGGTGAAGTTGTTAGGATTCCTGATGAGGAGGATTCAACCGAGGATAAAAAGACACAGTTGAAATATGATTATAAGGGAACAAATATATTGTTGAAACGAGGTATAAACATTGAAGTATTGAAAATACCTAAATATTAATACAAGAGTGTGTGAATATATAATATATGTAGGATTACAACAACTTATAAATAAACATAAAAGTACAAAATTAATTATAATATTAAAAAAACTTGATAAAAAACCAAAAGTACAAACGCTTTTCAAACAATAACAAAATAAAATGTTCAATTGACAAGAGCTTAAGCAGCAACTGGATGATGTTGTTCATCTTCAGCCCAATCTTGTTCAGTTTGAGCCAAATGTTGTTCTTCACCTTCTAAATCTTCTTCATCATCATAAACTTCATCACCTCTTCTAATACTTAGTGTTGGTTTAACAGCAGCATTTTCTAAAGTCCATGAGGCCAAGGCATTTTCAGCATCGATAATGATTTGTTTTGAAGCTTCGTAACCATCATAAGCTGGTCTAGTTTCACCTGGAGTAACTGGAGCATCATCTAATAATTCTAATAAAGCTTTACCATAACCTGCAATTAAGGCCAATTTTTCAGAATGTTCTCTTAAAGAATCAAAATTATAAGCAAATGCAGTTTTCAATTTTTCTCTAGTGATGTTTGATAATTGAGCTTCAGCAACTAAAGATTCAGCTTCAGCACGAACCAATTCTTGTTCTAAAACAACAATTTTTGGTGATTGAGGATCTTTATATTTCAAATAAGCAATTTTATCAGTAATATTTTGTTTACGATCTCTTGAAGGTTGAACAGAACCTTCGATATCACGAATAGATTTGATAGTTAATCTATATTGATCATATCTATCAATGAATTGATCTTCCAATTCACCAATTTCATAAATTAAAACTCCCAATTTATCAGTGATATCAGAAACGTCATCATCATTATCTTCACCCCAAATTGACAATTGTTTAGCAACTTCACGACGTTCATTAGCAACAACTTCGATACCTCTCAAGACGTTTTTTTCAATTTTAACCAATTGAGATAATTTTCTTGATAATTCAGGACCAAATTGACCAGCAGTTTGACGTCTTAAAGATGAAACTAACCCACCTTTACCAAAGAAACGACCAGATTTGGTGGTTGAAGGAGGTGGAGGAGGAGAAGCTAATTGGGAAGCAGTTGGAGCTCTTGAATTTCTTAAAGAGTAAGTTCTGTGCATTGTGTGTATAGTTGTTGTACTATAATTACGTAGTTACTAAGGGATGTTGGTTTTTTTTGCGAAAGGGGGAAAAGGCGTGGGTATTTATATGCTTGTTGGTTGGTAATTTCAGATTGGATATTTCAAGTGACAAAGACGAAACGGGCAGCAATTCCAAATGGGAACATAGAAATGAGGTAATAAGGGTTCTACGATTGGATATTAGGTGTTTTATATAGTGGTTATAGTGTTTATTTAGTGTATGTTGTATGTACTTGTATTCTCCCCGTGAAGCCAATTGCTCTTTATCTTGAAAACTCTCGAGACTCGAATGCGCCCCGAACCTGTGTTGAAGTTTCCGAAAAGAGTAATAAGTGTTCTGGATGAGGTTAGCATAGGGTCAATTAATTAATTAAAATAGCCAGTAAACCATGATTAATTCCTTAATAGTTCCTCAGTGTAGCGGTTCTTGTACTTATCTCAATCAAGTTGACAGCCAGGTTGGTTAACCGTGGCTGGGTGTCTGCAGAGAAGAATCATCTTTGGAGAAGGAATAGTGTGTGGTTTATCCTGGGGGTATTCATGGAGAAGAACTTACCAGAAGAGCAGAGGGAGTGATTAACTATTACCTAGTCAATGGATGAGTTAGTACTTAGTTGATTAGTTCAGTCTAATTGTCATTAATTGAATAATTGATTAACTGAACAATTCTGAAAAGATTTCAAAAAGTTTTTCCCACTAAAAATACACTTTGGCAAGGGCCAGCACAGGTGACAGGGGAGGGTAAATTGGTGGTGAATTTTAATAGGTACAAGGTTAATTACTACTCAATTACTGGTTTAATGTTAAGTGTGTCGTAGTGGTGTAATTGATGTTGATTCATTGAAGTGTGTATCCTTTTGGTTGAGTTTCAATTGTGGTGTTGTGATACTAATTATCACAATTGTGGTGAAGAAAGTACCTTCAGCTAATTATGTCCCATAGAAAGAAGTCAGTTCATCATAATCAAGTACTAGCTGGAGTATGATACGGAATGATGAATTGAAGGAGTCAGCCAATTCATTAAGAATGTATCATGAGCTTAATTAAGGACTTGAAAGTACCGTTACTGTCCCTGACGTATATACTAATTTCAAGTAGAGAATAAAATGAGAAGACTTTGGACAGCTAGAATATTCAGACTCACTCAACCACAACAGCCAATAACGCACATACAGACTAACAATTGCCAATTATACAACCAATACTCTATCCTCTACATTCTACATACTCTCTACTAATTACTTCTAATAGCTCTCTCCCATTCACTCACACCTGGTCACCCCATATAAGGCATTCGCGAATTGCAATATTAGAACACCTCGACACGTAAAAGCATTGATTTAAGTGCTATTGAAACAATTGAAATGCCTTTTAAGCCACTATAATCCCATAATACCACATCCAGTACCATAACTTCCTCTTCAACCCCCAACATCTCCCCTATTAACTCTCAACTCCCAATCCTCACTCTGCTGACATAATAATCTGCTCAGCGGTCTCTCCGAAATTCAGAAAATCAACAAGTTTCCCATTTCCAAATCAACAAAAACATCAACAACCAATCTAAAGCTTGACCAAATTCCAGCAAATAACATCCAAAAACACATACACACAACATACAAAAGCTTGGATCAATAACATCAACAAAGCATAGGCTCAGATCATAAAAGCTCTCATACATTCTCACAATTCAATCTTAGGTGGACGGAATATAATCACAGTGCCCCCAATCTCTCGTGTTGTTCTCCTATTATCTGGTATCCCCATTGCATTCAATTTAGCTTCATTTACACAACTACATCAAATTCATTCATTGATTCACATCATAACAAGTGGACACTATCATCAGTCATATTTCATTTACTCAATTAACCTTTGCCCAAGATGATGAAAGGTTTTAAGCAAAGGGTAAGTAGTCAAGGGAACATGATGTTGAGAAACCTTACTAACAATTCAAAACAGCTCTCAAGGAAAGGGTCATTATCTTCTAAAAAGAAGGATAAAGAAAAAGAAGAATCTAAAAATGATAAAAAAACTTCTTCAAATTCCAATAATAGCAATAATAACAATTTGAAAATTTCTTCAAATAATTCTTCAACTTCTTCATTATCAAGTTCTGGTGGTTCTCCAAGAAATTCAATCTCTCAAAAAGATTCTCCTAAGAAAAACTCATCAAAATCATCTTCATCAACTTCCCCTAAAAAGGAAAAATCAAAAGATAAATTACAACCTGATCATAATAATACCCAAAGTCCCGCAACTCCAACTCAACCAACATCAAATCGGTCCCCATTACAACAACAAACAACAACTTCCAATTCATCAAATGCTGCAATTCAATTCTCAAATCAAGCCACTCCACCACCTACATCTTCTGCATCAATCCCCAATATAAATGTAACACCTCCACAAATTCAACATCCACATTTTGATCCAAATTCTGCAATGAATTCTTCAGAAATCTTAATATCAAGATCTTCGCATTCTTTTGAAAGATTACCAACACCAACTAAAATCGAACCAGATGTTGAAAATTTGATTAAATCTCCACAACGTCATCATAGTTCAAGATTTGAACCTTCTTCATATACTGAAATTTCCAAACTACCAAGCTTTGACGAGGTTCGACCTGATAAAAGATTGGAGTTATTCCTAATGAAGGTTGATCAATGTAATGTATTATTTGATTTTAATGATCCGTCATTTGACATCAGAGGTAAAGAAATTAAAAGAGTCACATTACAAGAATTGATTGAATTCATTTCCACAAATCGTTTCACTTATACTGATGAAATGTATCAACACGTTGTCGAAATGTTTAAGAAAAATTTATTCAGACCTATCCCTCCCCCTGTTAACCCAGTTGGTGATATTTATGATCCTGATGAAGATGAACCAATTAATGAAATTGCTTGGCCTCATATGCAAGTTGTTTATGAATTTTTCCTAAGATTTGTGGAAAGTCCAGATTTTAATCATACTTTGGCCAAACAATATATTGATCATGATTTTGTGCTAAGATTATTGGAATTGTTTGATTCTGAAGACCCAAGAGAACGTGATTGTTTGAAAACTACATTACATCGTATCTATGGGAAATTTCTAAGTTTAAGAAGTTTTATAAGAAGATCTATAAATAATGTTTTTTTAACATTTGTTTATGAAACTGAAAGATTTAATGGTATTGCTGAATTATTGGAAATCTTGGGTTCAATTATTAATGGGTTTGCATTACCTTTAAAAGAAGAACATAAAGTGTTCTTGGTTAAGGTTTTATTACCTTTACATAAAGTTAAATCATTATCTTTATATCATCCTCAATTGGCTTATGGTGTTGTGCAATTTTTAGAAAAAGATCCTTTATTAACTGAAGAAGTTATAATGGGATTATTAAGATTTTGGCCAAAGATTAATTCTACAAAAGAGATTATGTTTCTTAATGAAATTGAAGATATTTTTGAAGTTATTGAACCTTTAGAATTCATAAAGATTGAAGTCCCACTATTTGTTCAATTATCAAAATGTATATCATCACCACATTTTCAAGTTTCTGAAAAAGTGTTGTGTTATTTCAATAACGAATATTTTTTAAATTTGGTTACTGAGAATGCTGAAGTTATATTACCAATTATTTTCTCATCATTATATGAGATTAGTGCACAACAAGTTCCAGATGATGAAGAAGCCTTAATGAATTCAGGTTCATGGAATAGAACTATACACACATTGGCTTATTCTGCATTGAAGATATTCATGGAGGCAAACCCAATATTATATGATCATTGTACTGTTTTGTATAGACAAAGTTTAGATGATACACAGAAAAGAGAAGAAGAGAGACAAAAAGGTTGGGAAAAATTGGAACAGTTTGTGAAGAATTTAGAATTGGAGAAAAATCAAGGTAATCAATTGAGTACTTAGGGGATTATAGTTTGTTTGTGTTTTTTTTTTTGCTTTTTTGGTTTGGTTTTTTTCTCTTTGTTTGCATCATGGAGAGGAGAAGAATAAAACTGCACATTGAGGTTTTGTATATATAAGGAACAATTAGTTAGAGTCGATACCAGATTTTTTTTATTTATATACAACAAAGAAAAAAGACCCCAATTATCATTATTTTACCTACAAGTTTGTAAGTTGGCCAAAAGAAAAAATTTTGTAATTTCATTATATCAACTTGCTTTATATTCTCTTAAAATAACTGGAACAGAACTTGGAGGTAATGCACCAACTTCTGTAATAATTTTTTGAATATACTCTGGTGGTGTTAAATCATACATGATATTCAAAATGTTTAAAAATGAACTCTTTTTCCAATCTTTCAAAGGTAATTCATTTTGCACAATTGAATTCTCTTTTTCTTTATCATTCTTATTATTCTTCTTTTGTTGTTGTTGTTGATCTTTTTGTTTCTGTTCATCTTCATGAGTCTCTATAAAATTTTGTAATGCAACACTTGATTTCTTAACATGATTCAATTGATTACAATCAATCAAATCATCATTATCACCCAATTCATTCAACGTAACAGAATCTAATTGAACCCTATCAGAAAACTTGATAGATTCACAACATACAAGAACTGGGATGTTTCTCTTTTTAGCAGTCATTGCAATCAAAGCTGCACCAACTCTTGAATATAAAAACCCATTAGATAACATTGCATGAGCACCAAGGAAAACTGTATCAACATCTTGGAAAATTGAAGTTATTGAATTAATTAAGGCATATTGAACTTTTAATCCATTTAAAGTTAGGATCTTAGCCAATTTTTTACCCTCGAATAAAGGTCTTGAATCCACTATTATAACACGGAATTTTTTTTGTAATTCTTTAGCATTATATAAAAATAATTCTTTTAAAACATTTGAATTACCAAATGTTAAAACTGTGGATCCATTTTGAATATGGTTTGAAGCTGATTGGATGATTAATTTATCTGATAGTTCAATTTTCTCCTTTAAGAAGATATCAATTTTTTCAACAAGATCATTTTTAGCATCAATATCTGAAGTATCTATAGAAATTAATGAAATTTCCTGTTTTAACCATCTAATTGCATTACCCATGGTGACTGATAATGGTCTTGAAGTTTTCAAATAATCAATTTGATAACCTAAATAATTTGTTAAATTTCTTGTTAATGTTGTACCTTCTGGAGTTTGATATTCTGAAATTACAGTTTTAAAAGCTTTCAACATTGCAATACATCTTGGAATTGAACCAACAATTGAATATGATGAATATTTGGAAGTTAGGGACAATATAGCTGGATGTATTAAGTTTTGAACTTGTGATTGAGAAATTGATAATTCATTTCTTTGTTCTTTAGTTTCTAAATGACTAAATAATGCAACTTTATTGATGATTTTTGGTGGTTGAGGTTTTAATTGTTGAGATGATGTTGAAAAGTGTTGAGGTTGTTGTTGGTTTTTTTGTTGCTTAGCTTTACTTTGTTCTGTTTGATTAGGTATACCTTGACTTTGTTTCTTTGCAGCTCTTTTCTCTAATTTCTCCTTCTTTTTCAACTCTTTCAATTCTTTATTAGTCAATTTCTTTTCACTAGTACTTGGAGCTGGAGCAGCTGGAGCAGCTGGGGCTTCACTAGTAGCAGCTTCTTGAGCCGGGGCTTCAACTGGCTTCACTTCAGATTTTTCTTCAGACATTGAATTGGATAGATCTGATGATGTTTATGATGTCTTTCAAGTTATGATTTTTACTCATCATGTTCAAATTTTTCCCTTTGGAGGAAAAAAAAATTAGTATGGTGTGGTGTGTACCGGATTCGTTTTTACACTGAGAATTCTTTATCCATAAAAGATTCTATAAAAAGTATATACAGAGAATAAAAATGATCTTTTGCATTTTCATTTCAATTTGGTCTTTATGCTATGGTCTTGGATCCTTTTATTTAGGCTGAGGCTGCTCTGGTAGCATTGTATTCAGCTTTTCTAGCCTTTTTGGCAGCTTTTTCAGCTTGACGGAGGGCAAGACGTTCTTCTTTTGGTTTAATTGAAACTTTATAAAATCTAGAGTTTCTCAACACTTCTTCATATCTGTTTGGTTTGCCCAATTTCTTCATTAGTTCTTCGTATTGGAAAATAAAACCTTGAATATATCTGACTGAGCTCAACATTTTATAATCAGCATGGGTACCTAATTCTTGAGAAATGGCTTTCAAGAATAGATAAGTATGTTGAAATTCTGTTAAAAGTGCAAGTTGATGACCAACAGATTTACCAATAACATCAAATGGTAATGAAACTTTAGATTGTTGAACTTTTTCATATAAAGCTTTTGGAGCAGGTTTACCTTCTTTAGCAAAGATTGCACATTTTAATAATTCACTAATAGCATCTGGTTCTTGTTTTAAAGCTCTTTCGGCTCTTTGAATTTTGCTAACTTTATTTTTGAAAGCTTTGTTTGGATTCAAATATAGGAAAAATAATGACATGTTGAAATTTGAAAGATCTCTTGCAGGTTCAATACTTGGATTAGTGTGTAAGAATACTAAAGCATTTTGTAAACGTCTAAATTGTGCAAATTTTATGAGCATTTCATTTAAATGATATGATGTGATGGCATTAGATCTTTTGGCAATCAATTCTAAATCTTCTTGTAATTGTGGTAATTGTTTTTGATCAGAAACTTGTTGAATATAGCTACCAATGGCATATTTTGATGGAAGAGTTGGTGATTGCAAAGGTCTTGCTCTTTTATCAGTCTGTGGGTCTATTAGATCTCTTGAAAGTAATTCTTGAGCATGTTTAGGTCTATACATCAATATTCTCAAGTCTCTTGGAGTTCTCCAGTATTTCAAAAATGCTTCAACACTGTTTTTGTTTTCCTCTACCCGTGCCACTTCTTGAAGCACGCATCTTGTGGTGGAGAATCCTCTTATGAAACGTAGCATATTGATTGATGTGACTAGAGTTTTCTGGCTCATTCACTTGTTAATTCGATCTCATTCAACTTTTTCATGATTTTTCATTGGAATTTTTTTGGGCGAGATTTTGTTAGGACTGGTATTTACACTGTGCTTTCCATATTGAATGGTGATATTGGCGTGTATATTTCAGTACTAATAAAGTTATATACGTGAAAATTAAAAATCTACAACTTCAAGCTTTGATTAGATATGATAAACAACAGGAATAACTTTGAAAAGATGAATTATGAACCTTTGGATTCGCTTCCATGTATGTGATTTTGGTATTGTTTGATGAATATAACCACTAACAATTTCTTAGATATCGACGAAGATGTTACAGATGAAGAAAGACAAAATATAGAAAAACTGATACTTGAGGAACTATCATTAATAAAACTAAACGAGATCCATCCAAAAGTTAAAGAATTATATACATTACCTCAACCACACCATCTGATTGCTGATATTGGCGAGGAGGAATTAACAGACCCTGGATTTTCCTTGGGTGGAATTGATCTTTCAGATTATTCAAATTTAGAAAATACCGAATCATTACAGAAATCACTGGTATTCACAAGTTTAAGAAATAAATCATTAAAATTATCTAGTCAGTTTGGTAAGAACCAATGGCTTTTGAGTAATGACCAATTTGAACATTCAAATGAACAAATCAAACAAGAATTGAATAGTAAGAAAAGAAAGATTGATGAAATCAATTTAGACAGAAAAAATATGCAATTAGAAGCTAAACCTGTTATTGATTACCTTGAAGAAAGATGGAATCAAGGTATCAAAAACAATGTTGATATTGGTGTTGAAACTATCAAACTTCAATTTGAGTGAGAATTCTTAAATCAAAGATAATGCAGCTTTATAACAATCACGAATATTTGCCTGGTTCTCAATATTGAATTCTTGAATTGTTTTTCTAGCTTCATTCAATTTTTTAGCCAATTCTCTAGACATTCCATTATCAAGAGATTCATCTGTTTTCAATTTGAAAGTTGAAGATATTTTACCAGTTTTATGATCAAATTTTAGAGTTATGGAATATTCAAACAAATGTTCATAAGTCCCAACTCTTTTCAAATGATCAATTCCAACGTTTGAAGGTACATTTCCTTTATCAAGATCATAATAATTTTCATCATCCAACATGACATAGTTACGATATTTTATATGAGTTTTAGAATATCCTTCAAAATCAGCTTCACTCATCATGTTTTTAACAGAATTTTTCAATTGATCATCAAGGTTTTGGAAAACTTTATCAAAGAGATCCATTTCTTTATCGAATCTAATTGAATTATAGAAATCATCAAATTCGTTGTTATCTTTTGAGTTCCAATTCTTCAACTTGTGATAAAGTTTTTTCTTTGTATAACCGGTTTGAATCATAAGATCAAAGGTTAATTGGAAAAACCATACCCAAAATGCCATCTCTATTGGTCTCGTGTATTGTGTTGGTAGAAGTTCCCATCCCCCAAAAACATCACCACTGGTAGTGACATTTTGCTCTATTGTTGTGTTGATGTAGGATGAGTTGAAAGCAAGAGTGGTATTGAAAAGCTGTGGAATATACATTTTTAGTATTGAGGGTTAATACAGTAGATTAAGTAAAAGTGTGTAATGATTTACTGCTGATATATAGTTTTCAATGTCAGATACGAGATGATTTCGATAATTATTGATCTCATTAAAAGTTGTAGTAAAACCTCTCATATTCACGACAGTCGTATATACGTTCTTTAAAACAGTCAAGATCTACCCCAAACCTCCAGACATTCACAGGAATACAGTTTCTAACGTCTTGACATATAGCTACACTATCTGAACACCGCGACTACTACATGGTGAAGAGATGCTTACAACGATGGGATTAGAAAGGGGCCATGATCCATATCTGTGAGGTTCAATGCTCTCGCTAGATACCCAGCGCCCACATTCTCTCTGCCCACACTCAGAGTCCAGTGCTTTAAAGACGTTGACTCCATCAGCCAAAAGAAATGAGGTTGTGGAATCTGGCACAACCACGTTTTCGAAGTGACATAAAAGACACCAAAACAAAAAACAAAAACACCAGAAGCGCAGCACTGGGAATCACAATATACAAAGATCGATCTTTTATAAAAGCAAGCCAATTGCTGTTCTCTGCCGTTTGTTTGTTATCCATTCCATTCCTCTATACATTTCTTTGTTTGATGCTCACTATTTGATTTTCAAACTTGAGCCTTGCACAGCAAATTTTCAAAACCAAATTTTTTGACAGAGTTATCTCTATCAACAACACCTTCACCACTACAAAGCCCTTTGTTCAGCGCTAAACTCACAACAACTAGGCAGGAAACATTGGTTGTTCTTGAAAGAAAGTGAATCCCACAAGCGTATACAAGCCTCAATTATCCATTGTGTTATCGTGTTGAGAGACTGTCAGATTTGGCGTGATTAGAGAGAGAGAAGCACAAAAACAACAACAACAACACTCATCTCCATCAAAATAAGATCGTTCACTTCTCAAGGCTCCCATCAGATCTCATCTACTCACTCTGAACAATCCATGCTACATTCATTCATACAAGTTCTAGCTCCAGTGTTCGGAGGTGATTTACAACTTTATTATTAGATTAAAACCCAAAATTAGGAGACTAAAATTTGGAATTTCATAGTTCAAGAGAAAGAACATATTATTTATTACATACAACACAGTTTTAGATGGAAACCAACAATCAAAAGAGTTCTGCTTCTTCCTCGTTAGAATCAACAAAGTCAAACGATTCAGCCGGTGGTGCTTCAAACCTTACAGGTCGTAAAGCCGCCCATTCGTTGAGATTATTTAGAAATGACAACAACAGCAGTTCCAATCTACAAGAACACCATCACCACCATCATCAAGATCACATACGGTCACCATTCAAGAGTCAATCCACCACATCAACAACAAGTTCCACAAAACACCAAAGAGCCAGTTTTTCTGTTTCAAGATTAACAAAAGATATCAAATCTTTCAAGTTACTACCTGGGGCTAATGAATTGGAACCACCATTTGATGAGCACCAAAAACCTCAGAGACAGCGACAAGCATCCTTGATCTTACCAAGTGAAATAAAATCTCATAGTTTTGTTGACCCAAGTTTAAATGTAAATGTGGTGGATGATGATATCTCTAAATCATTGTCACTTTTGGAACCAGTATCATCAGCTACATACATTCCTCACAAATCTGAGTCAAATCAAGATCAAATACAACATCTAGAAGAAGCTACTGAGTTGAAATTACCTTCAAGATCTAGTGATGATGAAGCTTTATCTGGGAAAAGTGATAACCTGAGCACTGCAACCACTCATTCAACAACACATACTGATGATAATAATGATATTATATCTCAGCAGAGTATTAGTGGTGGTGGAATTCAAACCGGTGTCACATTTTCGAACCATGATGAAACATTTGAATTTAATCATCCACAGTTAATGATCAATGACGAAGCTAATTATAATGAAGAAGCTGGTGATTTTTTGGAAGGTCATGAAGAAGAAGATGGTGACAATAAGTTTCAATTGGCCGTTGAATTAACTCCATTTAATAACAAAGTTGGTGGTCATACTGCTATTTTTAGATTTTCTCATAGAGCTGTTTGTAAAGCATTAGTCAACAGAGAAAATGCTTGGTATGAAACAATTGAACAAAACCATGAAGATATTTTACAATTCATGCCCCGTTATATTGGTGTTTTAAACGTTAGATATACAACCCTGGTTGATGAAAGTGAAGATTTGAATAATTTTAAGCTGGACACTTCACCAGCTTTAGCACCAATTAGTGAAGACCAAGTTTTGAACCACCCAATCTCAGCTCCAAATTCTACAAAATTAAGACCGACAAGCTCGTATAATGAGGAGTTACCACCAGAAGTTGTCTTAGATGATAATAGACATATAATACCTGAGTCACTTTGGGATCATTACTCAAGTTCAGCACCATCGCCAGCATCGTCATTCTCATATCTATCTGATCCAGCAGGCGGATCTCCTCTGCAATCTCCTCATCATCATCCACATTCGTCTTCTGCAAATCAACATCAACAATCTCCAATTCCAACCTCTTTAGGTTCAACTACTGTTAATAGAAAACTACAAGAATTGGTTTTACAAGAAGTTTTCGCTCCAATTCGTTCCAAAAGAAATCATAGAAGCTTGAGACACTCTTCAAGTCTGACATCTCCAAAATTGATTGCACAGAGAATGAATTCAACAGGGAATGTTCGTTCGTCACGTTTAAGTACTTCATCTTCGTCAGATTTCGGAAAAAGATCAAGTTTAGAATCTGGTGGCCAAATTTTGAAGAAAAACTATAGATCGTTAGTGGATTTACAAAAATTAAGTGATGAAAAGGATAAAAAAGAGGAAGAATCAAATTCTGCTATTGAAGAAAATGAGAAATTGAACACCTTATCTAAACCTCCTTCAAAAGTGGAAAGATCAAATAGTGACTCTATTTTCATGATGGATGATGAAGATGTTGAAGGACATAATAATCAAGATGCTGATGAATCCAAAATCGGACATTCAATTAATGATGATACAGAATCCATTTCAGATACCGGTGGTGTTTCGCCTTCATTAGCTCCAAAACGCAAGAAATTCCAAAGAATTGAAAGATTTATCCTTTTAGAAGATTTAACTTCAGGAATGAGAAAACCTTGTGTTTTAGATTTGAAAATGGGTACCAGACAATATGGTGTTGAAGCTACATTGAAAAAGAAGAAATCACAAAGAAAGAAATGTTTCAGTACAACTTCTCGTCAATTAGGTGTTAGAATTTGTGGTATGCAAAGTTGGGATAATTCAAAATCGAAATTCATCTCAAGAGATAAATATTTTGGTAGAAGAGTTAAATCAGGTTTTGAATTTGCATCTTGTATTTTGAGGTATCTATATGATGGTGATTCAATTTACAGTATTTTAATCAAAATCCCTTCGTTAATGGAACAAATCAATGAATTGGAAAAAGCTGTTACAAAGCTAGTTGGTTATAGATTATACGGTTCTTCGTTGCTATTGATGTATGATGGTGAAGATATCGCCAATATCAAGATTCACATCATTGATTTTGCTCAATGTATCACACTTGATAACCAAATGATTGTTGGTACAACTACATTCCCACCAAGACATCCAAATTCACCAGATAGTGGATATTTAAGAGGTTTAAGATCAGTCAAATTTTACCTTTCATTGATATTTTTACGTTTAACTGGTTTTGAATATATTTCTCAAGTTGAAGCAATGGAGATTATACAAAAAAATTTGGGTGAATACAAACAAAGAAAAACGGATTGGATCAATGGATTTGATGATAATGAATATGATTTATGTGGGTTCTATGATGAGGAATTTGGTGAATTATTGAATGAGGTTCCTCAATTTGCCCTTGATGATATTGGAAATGTTTCAGAATAAAGAAAATGGAAATACACTCTTGTTAATAATTTTACTTTGTATAATATGTTTTAGTAATATTTAATGCTCAAATTAATGAATTTTTGTAAACTCTACAAATATAAGTTTCTAAATTCAAACCACCATGTTACGTTTTATTATAATTTTTTTTTAGAAATACATTAAAATAACAAAACACCTTATTTGTTCAAGACTTCAGCATCGTATTTTTGTTTAAACCATTGGACTGTGTCTTCTTTAGTAGTTTTGTGATGGTTACCAACAACAGCTTTAGCATGTTTTCTTCTGGTAATTCTGTTACCTGGTCTACCCATAACAACGTAGAAATCCATACCGTAAATACCAATAGCTGGGTCATATTTGATACCTAAATCAATATGTTCATCAATACCGAAACCAAAGTTACCAGTTTGTGAAAAGTTTTTGTTACGTAATTGATATTCTTTAACTTTTAAACCTCTTTCTAAGATTTCTTCAGCTTTTGGACCTCTAACAGTGACATGAACAGCAATTTTTTCATTTCTTCTGATACCAAAAGTACGGACAGTGTATCTAGCTTTTGATTGAACTGGAGTTTGACCAGATAATTGTTCTAAAACTTTTGAAGCTCTGGTTAATCTATCACCTGATTCACCAACAGAAATGTTAAGAACAAGCTTTTCGATTTTCAATTCACGCATAGGGTTTTGAGCTTTGGCAGACTAAAGAAAGGAAATGTTAGTATTATAGATCTTTTAGAGGTTTCTAGTGGTTTGATTTGTTTGAAATATTCAAGATGAAGTTTGTTTAAAGTGTCACAGATAAAATTTGAAATGTGGTGTTGATATTGGTATCCAGTTGTTCACGTTGCTCTTATTATAATCTGGTTATTCTGATCTTTCATTTTGCCTTCATTAATCTCTTCTTGATCTTACATTCTCTATTCTTATTGAAATTATTCACATATCATCTTATCACTCTTGAAAATTACACTCTTGAATCCAAACTTTGATATAATTCATGACACAGTAATCATCTCCTTATTTATCACATATTCTCCCACTTATTATGCTTCTAAACATACCATTTTGAACTGATGTTTTGTGTATTCTATGTAAATGTAAAATCCAACTCTACGATTTTTTTGGTAGTTTTCAATTAATTGAAATTTTGTCAGAGTCCTACTGAAGAGAGAAAAAAAAAAGCTTGCTGTCACTGATTAAAATGACAGCTTGTTTTCTAGGCTGGTGGTCTGGCGAAAAATATGATGTCTAGGCGGACGCTGAGCGGAGGGATAACTGTTTCGGCTGGGAGTTCTGTCTAGAGGTTCCTCTTAGGTGACTGGTGCGTAATCCTCAGCACTGACATCTAGGCAGACTTCACTGTAAATCTGGGCACTAACAAATCATCAAACTCCCAGCGTAAACTGAAAAGTGTGGCCCCTTTCCCAAATTTGATATTGTTGTGCTGGCCGTTGCGAAATTTGGAAGTTGAAACTTTTGTGACTGTGACTTTACATCAGAACACCACACTTATTATGAACCCCAGATTTATGTGACTGATAATGGAAATCTAGTATCTTGGACAGCTTGGACTTATTAAAAGAATAATTATCTATTATAACCGCGTTTTAATACATTCGAGACTATAGATTCTTTCTAAAACTTCAGTAATCATTAGCTTTTGGAGAAAACAGAAGCCTTAAATATAGACAAAGTCTCAAAGCGATCTCTTCTACAAGACTGACACATTTACATAAATGTTTTATTTATATGTAGTATGTTAATATTTGAACGAATGCAATGGGGTATCATCAGCTAATCATAAAATAGCTATGCTGATTAATTAGATATACAATAGTGTGGATGGTGATCAATAAATGGACCATAAAATGAAATAATAATACAAAAACTCTCCTGGAACATAAACTGAGAGAATACCGTGGTGGGCAAAAATGTGTAAGCAAATTAAAAAACACAAATGGAATAGCCATGCAGAAAAACAAAAGGGGTATGAAGTGCAATATTAAAGGGTGTGTGTAACGAGCGTGGATTCAATTGTTCAAAATACCAATTACTTGGTCAAGGTCAACTCTATCAATCAATATCATTTTGATTAAATTGTAGGCATCCAAATTGGATTGTAAAATATTCAAGCTCTTTTGTGATAAAAGATCTAATACTTTGTTCTTCTTGATGCATTCTGTTAAATAAATGAAATTTGAACGATCATTTTGTCTCAAAACTTCAGTATAAGGTTCTTGACCGATTGCAGCAGATAACAAAATCAATCCGACTGAATACAAATCTGAATTATAAGTTGGAGGTGTTCCAGAATTGTTGATGAGTTCTGGGGCAGCATATTGTAAAGTGATATCAATCGATAACCCAGATTGTGCCTTTTCATGAAATTCCTTCAAAATATCAGTTTTCAATCCAGCACTTGTAAAATCAGCAATTTTGAAATCATCATTAACAGCATCAAACAATATATTGGAAGTTTTAAGGTCTAAATGTATTATTTCACAATCTCTCAAGACAATAAGTCCCATAATCAATTCCTTGGCTAGTTTCCACCATAGATCTTCACCAATATGAAGTTTAGACTCTTCATTTGAGATTCTTTTGATCAAAGTTTCAAGGTTTGATGACAAGTTTGAAGAAACTAAACAAGGTGCAACTTCATGGAATCTCAATTTAGGATAATTGGCTTTCGTAAGATAAGTTAACCCATAAACGTTCAATATTGGGAACTCATCACAATTGAAATCATGCAATTGTAAATAGCTTGAAATGATCTTATAGTTCAAAGCTTCGCGATATATTGGTCTGCTATTCTTGACACTTGATGGAACTTTGATAGCATAAAAATGATCATTAAATTTAGCTTTCACAACAGTGGAGAAGGAACCTTTACCAATAACTTGATTACTCATAACATCAAATTTAAAACTTGGATCAATAATGAAATCTTCTAGACTATCAATCACATTTTGATTCGATATCACTGAAGAATGAGGAATGTATTTTTGATGTGAGGCGGCTGGGGAGCTTGCTAATGTTTTTGAAGAATCATCCGAGAACACGCTGACCGGTGATGTCAAAGGAGATGTATAGTTCCCACTTCCTTTATAATACTGAAACTCATTAGATGTTGATATGCTCAACCCTTTTGCACTTGGTGTAGAGATTGAAGGACTTTGAGGTGTGGGTAGGAAATGTTTATAATTGTTGTGACTAACCTTATCATCACCATATTCAAAATTCACACCAACGGGACTTGAGCTTAAATCTGTGTCAATAACTTGTTTAGCAGGTGTCGCAAACTTAGCTTCAGACTTTAATGGGGGCGTCCTAAACATTATGGCAACCTTTTATAAACCCCTTTTTATCAATACAACTTTGTAACAATGGATGTTGAATAAGTGTTGGCGCTGAGTAACCCTTGACAACAGTGAAACAATAAACAACCAGCAGGGCAAAATGTTCACAATAGCAAAGCCTGAAATGTTGAAGATGGTTGATTAAGAATGGGTATTCCCTTTGAATTAGCAATGTAGTTGAAAACGTACTTCTCCTTGGATAGATTGTTGTTTGCAAAGATATCAACAAATTTGTTATCTTTTGTGTAAATCTTTTTTGCCGATTGGTTCAAACACCATCTTCCGATTCGCGAAACTTAATTAGGGCGGCTTGAGGAGGGTAGCGACTTTCAGATCCCGAAACTGTACGCCAACTTTCTTACAAAACGGGATCTAGAAAGGTATCTTGAAGGTGGAAAGAACTTCATTGTAAAGGGATCTTTGACTAGCCTTGAAGGATTTTAACACCAATGAAACTTTGAATCTTCAAATTCTGGAGATATTGTACAATAGAAACCCCGGGCGATCAAATGAGGGAACACCATTTACAAGATCGATACGAAACTCTAGCTGGAGGCTGCTGGACTCACTTGTCAGTAAAGAACAGCCATTTCAACCATGAATTGGATAACCGCTTTGAAGCAATATGGATATGAATAGGGATTCATTGGTGAATTGTAGTGCATTAAACATTTAAGCTACATCAACATTATAAAAACTGGGACAAGGACGACGTGGCTCTGCAGTTTCAAGCATTCGTCGTTTGGAAAAATAAAGGGCAATACCGCTTGGTCTTCAAACTCGCTACAAAAGTTGACAGGTTTGAACCAAATGCTGAGATGGATAGATAGTAGTTGTTACGGTTATGGGCTCATAAAATCAATTAATGAATCTTTCTTCTCAGTGAACTGATGCAAAATTGATTAGCCGTTGGGATTCAAAGTACATGTAACCCACAAAGGTGCAGCAGGAAGCCTTAGAACAACAACTACGTTTGAAAAGTTTTCTGAAGATATTTTTATATGCCACCAGAAGACTATTAACTAGTTTTTTAGTGCCTTGAAAGGTAATCATTGAGTACATAAGATAGTTAGAGTTTCGGAGAGTAAATTTTGTGTCAAAATAAGCTTTTCTGTACTCGGTGAATTGATCGACGCACGCAATGGAGAAGCTGTGTATACACGTAAAATTTGAACATATTACAACTTGATTGAAGAGTTCTATAGCTGGGGCCATGGTCGATAACCATACAGAAGAGAGTCCGAAGCATGATAATGTTATTTTGGAAGTGAAAAGTAGATCAGGTGGTTGTGTGCTTTGGGTTTGCATCGCTGCGACGTATAGCAGGATCGGGGATTGTTGACAGTTGGCCATGATTTTAACTTTTTGTATGCAATAACCTTCTCATTCACTTCTCAACAATACTCATTTCCTTGTAATATGATCATAATCGAGGAAAAGAAAATTACTATTACTGAAACCCTATATTAAACCTCATGATCTTAGCTTAGCGTTTAAGATCCAGGATCGTAATAGCTTTGAACATCGACAATTGACGTACTTGTTAGTATGTGGTTTGGCGAAAGTGGTGATTGTTTGAGCAGTCGCTTCGAGTCGACTCATTTAGGTTCAGTTAAACACTAGCTAGATATTACAGCTGGCGCCCAATATTTATATTAATGAAAAGAGCGTCGACGTCGACGTCGTGGTAGTTGAGCACTAGCAGTGCATCATGCGTACATTAGCGCCGATAAAATATTGATATTTATTAATCTTTTCCTAGCGTGTGAAGCCTACGAGCTCTCATAAAATTAATTAATATTAATTATGAAAACATTTTAATATTTGAATTGAAATTCTGTTTTATAGAAAAACATTGACGTAAGATCAAAATTATGAAATAAAATATTGTAGCTAACAGCTTTTTGTAAAAATTTCATGATGATCAAAATGGCTTAAATCATGCAGAAACTCAATTTTACGAATAACATAAAGCCATTAATTTAATTAATGTATTCATAATAATTCATAATTAAAGAATAAACAATAATTAATCAATTAAAAATTTGGCGTGCCCTAACCGGAAAATATATTCAGTCAAACCACAAAAATTAATTTTCAAAAATTAGGAGGGTTGGCCGAGTGGTCTAAGGCGGTAGACTTAAGATCTACTGGACGTTTGTCCGCGCGAGTTCGAACCTCGCATCCTTCAATATCTTTTTTTGCTTTTTCTTGCTCCCCAAATGCTCTAAAACTGTTATTTTTATCATATTCTACAATGGTTTATATAGGGTAGATCATTTATTTAGGTATCTAGGGTGTTGTGCTGTTTATTGAGCGTTATTGTTGTTTCCGGTGTGTTTATCTTCATAAAACATACCAGTTCCGGATAAAAAATCATTAAGATCCCAATTAAAATTTGAATCCATTTGTGAAGTGAATAAATTATCATCTTTGAAAACATCTTTAAACATTTCATCAATTGGGTCTGTTAAACTTGTGACAAATTCACCAGTCATGTATGATTGAGTTGGGAGTCCCGTTTCTGTTGGTGTTCTTGTTTCACCAATTGAACTTGATATTGAACCGGTTACTGAAGTTGGAGTATAAGCAGATGGTGCATTTACTGGTCTTGGGATGTTTGTAGTATGGCTGGTGGAGATGGTATACTTGTATCATCATGTGGTAGGTCCGCATCTTCACAATCTTCATATTTAACAGTGGCTCTAATTTTATCCAATGATGAAGTTTCCTTCTCTTTTGATAATTTTCTATCAATAAATCTTTCAAAATATTTAAACAATGCAAGAACAACAAACAAACAAAAATTCAAATTGAAAACAGATTGGAAAGATTCATTCTTCATCTTGAGCATATATTTACATGCTAATGTCATTAATCCATGAAGGAAAGCTGGGGATCTATATGATTGATTTAAAGTGTGTGATCTATCATGAGGATTCAATTTTTCAAAATCTGTTATATCCATACTGAAATAAAGAGTTTTAGGATGCGTTGAACGTAAATCATCTTCAAATAACCTTATAACTTCAAAAGTACAAATTGCACAAAAAATCTTGATGAAAATGATTTTAGAAACTCCAACCATTGATTGTGACATTTCCACAATTTTGAACAGTTTATCCTCATTATCTTTATTATCCACACAAAATTTGTTAAACCTTAGTAATATTTCAATGAAATGAGTTGCACTTAAAGTACCATATTTCATAGTACCATTATAATAGACAGCTTTATTTGGATCATAATCTTCAACACCATGGTATAAAACATCATACAAGACATGAAGGGTATAAATTGCGAATAGTTTCAATTCAATTGATATCAATTTTTGAAAATCATTTAAAACAACATCAGCACTGGAAAGCTCTTTAACACTTGATGATAATTTTTGAAATTCACCATTGTTATAATTCTCCATTTTTTCAATTATTGAAACAATTTCATGTTGTGAACAATGATCAGATCTTGTTAACACTCTAACAATTTCTCTTAGGAACATAGTTATTGTACTTAGTAAATCATTATTTTCAAAATAATGACGATCAATATATTGATCCTCTATAGTTAATGGGATACCCAAATGGAAAGACAATACAGCATCTTGATACATCAAATGACTCCAAATATTTTTAAAAATTTGTCTTGTATATGGTGGACTCTTTGCATATAAAGTATCAATATCTTTATTCAACCCCATCAAGATGGCCATATTAATTGCAAATTTAAAAGTCAAGGCGCCACCACTAGAATCACCACCATCACCATCTATTGGATTAATCATTCTGAATTGTCTTATAAGGATCAAAGCTTGTAATGCAGGGATTGTACTCTTGGAATTAGATTTTGAAAATTCCAAAAGTTTATCAGCATAACGTAGTAAATGATCTCTTGAGTCATAATCAGAATCTTGTTGATGAGAATTGCTTGTTGCTGTCATATATTTCAAAACAATCACCATTAATGCAATTTTGGCATAATCAATTGATTTGTTTATGATTTTGAAAGTGAAGGTACCGCTATCATCACCATTTGGGATAACAATTTGATGGAAATCCTTCATCAATTGTTCACGTTCTATGATTGGTAATCTTTGATTCCAATAACCATCTAGATATTTAATCATGTAATTTTCCAAAACATCATACTTTGGTAAGAAATTAGCTAAATTATCCAATAATGTCTTGGGAGTACCAACGTTAATATCTTTATATTCTTCATATGGGATATGATTTAAATTTTTTTCATTTTTCCATTCTCTTTTAACACTTGACACATAATTCTTAGCAGATTTAACCAATTCAGTATAAGTTCCCTCTTTATCAAGTAAAGTTCTCCAACTAGTTGGCCCGAAATACATCACTTTATTAGCCTTCATGCTAATATTTTCAAATAGTTGAACTTTACCACCTAATGGAGTTGGCATTGGATCACCAGAGACGATTTCTTTCCATTTTTTCAATTCTTCCAATTCTGCTTTCAATTTAACGTTTTCATCTTTAAGTAAGATGATTGTTTCTGTTGGGGTAGTGGATTGCTCAGTGTTTGGGATGAATGGTGAATCTTCATAGATGCAAAGATGTGGTGGGATACGTTTCTTAACACAGGATGAACATGGTTTACCTTGATCACATTTGACTTTTCTCTTTTTACATGAAGTACAAGTTAATGAGACTCTTTTCCGTCTTTTTTTATTGGAATCTGGAGATGAGTGATCAGTGTAGTTGTTTCTGTTGAAATTGTTGTTATTTTGAGCATCCATTTTGGGTTAAAGTTGGTAAATGTACTATTGTCACAATATGATTCACTTTACGAGCACAACGGTGATTTGAAGTGATTTGAAACTGCAATATTGAATAGACCGGCTATCAGCAGCAGCAGCAATGTATGGGTATCTAAGTTGAATATTTGGGTGGCTCGAAATTATTTGAAAGGGTCTTTTCGGTGTTGTTTTATACAAGAACAGCCAAACAGAGGACCCTGAAGAAATTCAACAGTTTTTGTCAATGAAACAAGTTTATTTTAGCAGCAAAGAGGCGCAGAAGGGCTGATAGGTTGACAGTTTGCGGTTTAACTGTTGTTATTTGCATGTTGCGTATTTATTTATGGTCCTTTTTTTTTCCATCGTGGAGTTTGGGTAAAAACGAAATGTTTCACTTCCGGCGTTACTCGGATCCAACAACTGGCGGAGGATTCGAAGATAAGCGGTTAATAGAGGTTTTTTTAGAGGGAAAAGAGGATTTTTGGGGATAGAATTGATTTAGAAGGGATAATGGGATGGTTGATGAGTTTAGTACGAGTTTCCATGTGTTTATAGTCCTTTTGGTGAGCTGTTTGTGGAATTGATCAGTATAAGCGCGGATATAGAGATTTGATGTGATGTTTCGAGTTAAATGCGATGGATAGTGAGAGTGCAGCTGGTTACAATTTACAATTATCGTTTTGGTGTTGATTGTGGTAGAGCTTCGCCTTAATGAGCTGGAATATCCGTGAGCCATCTTTAATTTTAGTATTAAGTTCATCTGATTATGATTAACTATGGCCCACAAGCTGGCCAGAAGCACACAGACTCACCAACAACTGGAAATACACTGGAACCACAATCCATAGATACATAATTATAACCACTTATAACTAACAATCATCTCTCTATCCACCTGAAAGAATACTGAATGAAATAATCGTTGTGTGTTTTAGGCCTCCGATTACATAATATTTTGTTTGGACGTGTGCTATGGTCAAAAAATATCATCAACGGTTTTCATGAAAACACAACAGAAAGCCACTGAACAAAGGGTCAGAAACACATCCAGATCTCATCGAGATCTCATCATATTCTTGTGAGCCAATTCACACTTGAAGGCGCCATCCCAATTGCACCATCAAAGAAAGACTAAGCCCAAGTGTGTCATTGTTTATCTTTTCCCAAAACACAGTGGTTTAATCCCAACCACGTATCAACAATACCTGACAATTCATTACATCAATAATCGTCTCAAAAAATGGCCAAAAAGAAGAACAACAAATCTAAGAGTGCCGCTAATAAGCCATTGCAGGATACTGTAACCAAACCACAACAGGATACAATTTCTAATCCAGAGCCAGCCATTGATGAAAATGATGATAACAACACGACATCTAAAACTGTTCAGGAACCAACCAATGACATTTCACAACAAGAACAAAAAGACATTGAAACTATACAGGAGAAGGATCAAGTCACAAAACCCGTTGAAAGTCCGTCTTTGATCAATTCAGCAGAGGTTGAAACTGAAAAATCACCAGAACCTATTGAAGTCAGTGAATCCATCAAAATTGAGCCCCAACAAGAAGATGAACCAATTGTGAAAGAACAACCCATTGAAATAGTACAAGAGCCAATAGCACCAACTGTCAAGAAAAGGTTGACACTTCAAGAAAGATTAGCTCTTGCCGCTAAAAGTGGAAAGTCAAAAAGATCAACTTCAGGTGCTAATGCCACTGATGATAAAAAACTAAGAGTTGTATCTCCAGAACCATCAACTAGAGAAACAAGCATTGAACCGCAAACCTCTGAGCTTTCAAAAGTTGCAACACCTATATCAGAACCAATCTCAGCAGTTTCTACAAGAGATTCTTCTTTGGATATTAAAAGATCAGAACCAATCACTTTGTTTCCAAAAGATTTTAAAAATCTACCTGTTGAGGAGTTACAGAAACTTATAACTGATGCAGAAACTAAATTTTCAGTTTTAGAATCCAAAAATGAATCATTAACCATTGAAAAACAATCATTACAAGAAAAGATAAAGAATATATCATCTTCAATATCTGCTACATCATCATCATCTGCTTCTGCTCAAATAATCAAAGAAAAAGATGAGAAAATTGCACAATTGTTAAAAGAAGGTGAAAATTTATCAATGAAGGAGCTAAAATATACAAATACTATAAAAAGATTGAAATCCATTGAAGCTGATAATGATAAGGAAATATGGAATTTGAAGAACACAGTGGATTCTTTAGAAGATGAAAAGAAAAAATTTAAAGAAGAAAATAAGAAATTAAAAGATAGTGAACAACAATTCTCTGTTAAATCCAAAACATTACAAATCCAATTAGATAATGAAAAAGAATCATTACAAGAGGAAATCAATAGAAACAAAGAATTATCAAAGAAAATAGAAGAATTGAGTCAGGTTTTAATTCAAGAGAAAAATCAAGCTTCAAATATAATAAATGAACTGAAAAGATCCTTGGAAAAAGAGAAACAAAAAGCTCAAACCGCTCAAGAGGAAAGCATGGCTGAGATTAATAGATTAGAAAGTAAAATAGAACAATTACGTTATCAAAGTGAAAATGCTCAAGCTCATACAACTACAAATGATGAAAGTTATTTGAAATTGATTAGACAACATGATACTTTACAAAATCAATACACTTCAGCTACAGAGAATTGGCAAAGTATTGAAGCTTCATTGATGAGCAAAATTAGTAATTTTGAAACTAGCTTATCTTCATATCAAGAAAAATTGAAATCCAGTGAAGAGAAGAATGATATTTTATCAAATGATTTAAGATCGAAAACTTTAGAGATTGAAAATTTGACAAAAGATTTGAAGAATTTACGCTTAGAATTATCAAGATGTCAAAATAAACTTGATCAATCAACCAAAGATTATGAAGAATTACAAACCACTCTAGAATCAAAAGAAATTTCATTCAATAAAGAGAAAGCTGAGCTTGAATACAAGGTTTCCAATCTAGAACGTCAATTCAAAGATTCAATCCAACCTCAACATTTAACTGTTCAATCATCTTCAAACTTGGGAGAATTCAGTCCCCAAATGCCACAAAATTCATCAACACCTTCTTTCAGACGTGGATTAAGTTGGGATATAGGATTGGGTGAATCATCAACAACACCAAGACAGAGTCGTAAATCGAGTGCTTTATATTTCCCAAATTATAGTCAAGCAAATGGATCATTTGAAGAGAAATCCGAAACTGCTAGTGATTTTGATGATAATGATACAGTGAATTCTCCAGTTTCACAATATCATAATGGTTCAAGGTATGATAATAATTCATCATCTGCACTTGGTGGTACTTCTGTTCAACTATTGGGTAAGATGAGTAGTCAAGTTCGTCGTTTAGAAACTGAACTCTCTACAATGAAGGAAGAATTGGAAAAATTGAGTGAGGATAAAAAAGCTGCAAATGAAGAAATTGTTAAATTAATGAAAGATAATGAAAATGTTGGATTTTATAAATCTAAAATTGAAGAATTAGAAATTCAAGTTGATAATTATTCAAAACGTCATGAAAAGACATTGGAAATTTTAGGTGAGAAATCTGAACAAGTGGAAGAATTAAAAGCTGATGTCCAAGATTTAAAGGACTTGTGTCGTCAACAAGTCCAACAATTAGTTGATTTACAAACTAGATGAATGCATGAACAATCTTTATACACAAAATATCTTATTATTGTAATGTGGCTTTATTTTCTATTATACAAGTTATTTCCCAGTCCTTAGATGTAACCTTGTTCAACAGCCTTAGCAGTATGATCATCAATGTCTTCAGCATCCCATGGATAACATAACCATTTATCTGGAAGAGTCATAGCAGCATAATAACGATCTTGAATGATATCAGCTGGTAATTCAGCCTTTTTAGGTTTATCTTTGTTATGTAAGACGAAAATGGCAAAATTTGTTTTTTCATCCAATCTATTCAATTTAACAGCTTGTTCATGAACATCTTTTTCTAATTCTGAAACAGCATAATGTAAAGTGGTTCTAGTATCATCAACTTCATCAACAACTAAAACATTTTTACCAATTAAAGAATCAAAATGTTCATTTAATGCACCAAAATCTAACCATTGAGTACGAACAACTTCTTTACCAATTTGATCATCTTCAGTACTGGTACCCATATTTTCATACAAACTTAAACCAATAACTTGAATAGGAATATTTTTATGACCTTTTTCTTTCAAAAAAGTTCTTAAAATACGGGATGGAATATTACCACCACCACCTATACTGATGATGATATCTGGTTTGAAATCTTTGATTTTATCAGCGGAAGCTTTACAAAGCTTATGGATATGATTGTATGAGAAGTAAAGTTTTTCAGGTTCAGACATCTTTTCTGGGATATATTCCTATTTGAAAGGGTAGGTTTAAACCAAATACCAATTGTATAAAGAAGTTGAAAGATTTCTTGCAATTTGAAATTTTTTTTTTATGTCGTGAGATTATTGTGCCAAAACCGATGAGGTTTCCAAATTAGGACATTTCCGTGTTGGAGCACGACGCAAATGCACGAAAAAAAAGTGAAAAACAATTACGAGATTTCGTTGTACACAATGCAAAAAAAGATTCAATTCTATATAAACGGTCTTTTGGTTGATCCTATTCATTAGCTTCTTCTAAAGCACCACCATTAACAGCTGTTTCTTCCTCTTCTTCATCAGATGTATGCTCTCCGCTTTCAGAGTTCCCAACTGAACCGATAACATCATCCTCAGCTTCATCATTTTCACCATTGACATAGACAATACTTTCTTCAGCTTGTTCAATTGGATCTTTGGTGGATGATTCAATAATTTCATTGCTTGCAATTTGGTTTCTCAATTGTAATTGTGATTGTAACATCTCTAATCTACCTTGAAGACTTAACAGGTTTGGTAATTGTTTCAAACTTCTAGAGTAGGCACCTTTCAAACTCTTTAGGTTAGCAGAAGAGTTGATTGCACTCGTATGGGTCATCAATAACCATTTGATCCAGTTGTTGAAGACAGGTGATTCACTTGGGTTGATTTCAACTCTTTCTTTCAATATTTTGAATAATTCAACAGCATTTTCAAATGATAATTCTGAGGATGCAAATCTAATCTTGTTTACATCAGGATTTGAGATTAAAATAGTTAATAACTCTGATGGTTGTTTCAATGTGGTTTCTATTAAAGTTGCAAGATCAATATCTCTCACTTCAAGAGTTTCATCAAATTCTATATCAGCAATGATCTGTTCAGCAACTCTATTATCTTGTTTATTGGTCTTTAAAGTTTGTTTGGTGTTGATTTCAAGATCAGCGGAAACCTTAGAGAGTCTAACAGCTTCAAAGTTTGGTTCAAGATCAAACCAAGATAATACTAGTTGTTCTCGGCTGAATGAGGCAGCTGCAAATCCTATGTCCGTGTTGCTTGATTTTATTGAGAATGCTGGTGATGTAGTGCTTTCATCCAAGACTTTTTTGAAAATTTCAATAGTACAATCTTTAGTTAAGGCACCAATGTCTGAGCCATCAATGGTGATTAATGATTTGATCTCAGCAGATGCTGCTAACGTACGTCTTGTGCTTTTGTTTTTCAATGAGTAGATGTGGATGCTTGATTCTCCATTTCTTGATATAAGAACGTGGTCATCTATATATGCAATTGAATTTATGGTGATTGATTTTTTCCCTTTTGGTGCTGGATATTCTATGATTAACTCATCTTTTGTGATATTATAGACAACTAGTTTGTTTCCACCAGCAAGAAGGTATTCATCATCATCTATGATGACATGCTTTAAGAATGTAATTTCCTTCAATGACATTGGTAATGTTCTTTGATTTTTTGGTTTTGAATCATTCAACTCATATTCATAAACTTCAGTAGATGAAGCAACCCAAAAGGAGTTTGCAGATGATGCTAATGCAGAAATCTTGTGATCCGTTTTGAATTCATTTATGATTTCTTTCTTAAATGGTGAATAAATCAAAATTGAGCCTGACTTAAAAGATACAGCTAAATAACTCAAAGAACTTGATGATTCACGAGCTGATCCATTCAAGGAATGTCTTCTTTTTGTTTTTTTCCCATTTGCCAAGTCCTTTTGTTGAATCCAATCGAAAGTCACTAGTTCATCTTGAGAATCCAACTCGAATGATGAGCTTAATGAATTTGGAGCTGTGATTTTGGAACTTTCATGCTGTAGAGGATAAATGTGAATCTCATTTTTTCCTAGTTTTGAGGTATTTGTAGCATAGAATGATGCACTTGAATCAAATTTACCAAGTGAGTAGCCCATTTTGTTCCAAAAGTCTAGAGTATATCCTTGAATTATGAAGTTGAGAGACTATAGACCTTCTATATTTTTTTGCTTCAAAAGTTTATACTTCAAAAAATTTTTTTTTCGCGCACACAATTTTCGCGAATTCGATTATCTAATCTTTGGCGCTAGATCCGCTGATAATCGGGGTTTACAAGTATAAGTTACATCAGTTGTATTTCATCAATTTAAATATATATATATGCCTCTATACTCTTTTAAATTTGAATAACATCATTGATCGTTGATTGTTGTTCAGCATTAAGTTTTTGGAAGATCACTTGGTATCTTTGTGGATCATTTGCTTGGACACTCAGTATACCTTCTTTGAAAGTTGCAAAAACATTTAGGCCATCCAAAATTGTGCTAGCTAAAGGATCTTCAATAACATCTTCTTCAGCATCATCATAGAAGCCTGAATTTTTTAACTTGGCAGCTTCTGCATTCAAGAATTCAAGATAATCGTCTTGAGCAGCAGCATCAGCATCTTCATCAACATCTTCATTTTCCCACTCCTCTTCATCGTCTTCACCATATTCGAATTCACCAGCACCATCAAGCTCACCATCATAATCTTTTCTGCGTTTTTCCAAATCTTGGATGGCTTTTGGTAATTTTTCCATCAACACAGTTAACATCACACCAACTTCTGACATTACTTCAATCATTTGAGATGATGCCAATGCATTGGATTGAACATTGATAAGACTTAAAAGACCTAGAGTTGAAAGTTTTAGATCATAAACTCTTGTCAATTTTGGAATGTACTGGAACCATAATTTGAAAAACACTAAAACAAAGTTTTTACTTTCTAACACCTTCAAAGTTTCAACTGGGTAGTAGACCAATGCACTAACAATGGTATCAATCATATTGATGGAATATAGGTTGACCATTTCTTCAGCATTAATCAAGTTATCTGTTGTGATTTGTAAAATTTCTTCTAGATATAGGTTTGAAGATTTTTCCAATGCAAGGATAAGTTTTTGTGCAATTTCACCAGCATATGCGAAATCAGTAACTGAGTTATCATCAGAAGTCATGATAGTTTTGAAAAGGTTGAATAAAGCACCAGAATAAGCTTGGTTAGCACTAATCTGTGGGGCACCATAGACCAAGTAGTTATTCAAAGTAGGCATCCAGTCTTCCAAATACAACAATGCAATACCTCCATTAATTTGAGGAATCAAGATTTCAAATAATTTCCAACAAACTGGGGAAATTTGTCTAACCAAGAAAGTCGAGTTTTCAATCAATTCACTAACTTCTTTGAAGAAATCTTCAATATTATTTCTTAAAACAAATTCAACAGCTGGCGCAAAAGTCTCTTCTAATTTGTAAACAACATCAACTGAACTCTCGAAAGATAACAAAACAGTGATCATGGTATTTAATAGACCCAATGCAGCCATTTGTTTATCAGTTAAATCATCATAACCAGCATCAAAGTTGTCGACGTCGACATTAGCAGCATCATTCAGTTCTTTTGCTAATCTTAAGAACTGTTCAACCAAATTACCAATCAATTCAACACCAAATGGTTGTAATTGTTCACTGAAAACTTCAACCATCTCTTGCATAACACCAGAAGTAGCATCAGAATCAATTGTGTTTGATAATGTTAACAATCTTTGCATTGTTGGCAAAATAACTGGAGTCAAAGCTTCTTGGAATTGTGGAACCTTGATAAAGTTTTGTAAAGCTAAAGATGCTTCTAATTGGACAGGTAAATGATCATTCTCGAAACTAGACAAAATACCACGGAATAAAACACCCAAGTTAGCTGCATCTTGAAACTCAATCTCAGCAAATTTTGAAGCAACTTCACAGGTTCTAGCCTTGATGAAACCAAATTGACTGTCAAAGTGTGGGAAGATCAAGTTGGTCAAAAATGCTTCCATTTGAGAGTAATATGGAGAAGTTTCTTTGACAAAATTATCTGAAATTGATCCGATCAAACGCATCGCACCTTCCAACTTCTTAGCTGCTTCTAGATCAGTACCTGCAACATCTTTCAATTGGTTCAAAGAGTTGTATGCAAATTTAAGAATAGGTTCTAATGTAGTTTTCTTCTTCTTGGTTGTCAAAGTAACCAAAAGTGAGATTGCAGCAAGATCAGGGGAAGTGGATTCATCATAAATATCCAAGTTGGTGTGGATATATTCTTGTGGATCATTTTCAAACCTATCTAGAATATCATCACTTGGGCATAATAATGGGAACACAAAATGAGAAACCAATAACTCGAAATGTGGTTTGATGAAAGGCCAAGTTTTCTTTTGAGTAACTGCGTTTTCAATAAAGTTAATTAAAAAGTATAAAGATTCATCACTTAGCCATAAGATTTTGTTACACCATTGATCAATTTGAGTAAAGAATAAGTTCAATAACTGAGGAACAAAGTTTTCCGTGAAGAAATCATTAAATTTGGTATAACTGAATTTCTTGGATAATGAATGTGATGCATATCTGGTAAATAAACGGTATAAGTTAGCATACGCCCATTTTTTACACTTGACCCATGGATCCAATTTTCTTTCAGAATCTTCCATGGAGCTGTAAATATAACCTGGGAGTTCTTTTTGAATAACACTGACATGAAAATTCATCCAGCTTGTAATCGCTTCTGGTGTTTGTAATGGTTCTGGTAAATCATGATAGGTTGAAAACTTGTAAACTTTTAAAATCAGTTTGGTCATTTCACCTGCATCTGGAGATTCTTCTTTAAGCAAAGTATCAGCAACACTTAAAAGGGTTGGGAAATGCGAGATAATCAATTGATCAAGTTCTTTTCTTTCTTCATTTGTAACCCATCTATAGGTACGACAAATCTCTGCAAAACATAATAACCCAGTGTAAGCGGAATCCAAATTTTGAGCATATAACAATTGGACCGCAGAGTCAACTAATGTAGGCCATTTTGATGGATAATCACCAACAATGATGGTACTTAAAACAGATTCTAATTGATTTCTTAGTTGATAGTTAACCTTGACCAAGGTTGGTAAGATACGATCTCTTATGATTGGTCTTTCATCATTATCAATTCTACCTTCATCTGATTTATCATCCCGGTTCCAATAACGAGTGATTCTATTCTTGAAAAACACAGCTGCCGCTTTTTTGACAGCAATATCAACACCTTCAGTGGATAAAATGTCTAAACAGGCTCCTAAAAACCCAATAGACTTTTCTGCTCTGCGAAGAGTTTGTTCAGCTTGATGTCTGATGTCTTGATTTGGGGAGAGCGACTCTGAAAAAGTCTGGTAAAGAGCATTGACATCCATTTTCCCAAATATATAGCTATGTGATACGCTCAAATACACTAGCAAGTTCAAGTGATCAAATAGTCAATGAAAGCTGGTATTAACTTACCAATAAATCAGAGATGAATTCAATTTTTTTTTGTTTTTTTTTTTACCGGCCAGAATTTTTTTTTTTTTTGACCATGAGCTTGGGAATTTTTTGTATGGTACAATTTATTGAAAGAGCCAAATGAGATTGAAAAAGACGAAATTATGGTGTAAAAAGAATATTTTGTTAGTAAGATGATAGTATTGTAAAGCTTAAACATGTTAAAAGCTTGTTTTTGCTCGATGTGGTGCTCAAAAGTCCAAAAGGGCGCCCATGTCCGAACAATTGTTTTCGTTTTCAAATTCCAACGATTCAAATACCCAAGCTCCAACGAGACAAGATGAAGAACCAAAGCACATCGAATGCTCGGAAAACTCTGGTGATTTGAACTAGTTTCAAGCATTCGTTCTTACAGTGCGCTTTTGTATCAAAATTTATGGAAAATTTTGTTCATATTCCGTCGCATCGGTGTCCCAAAATGGCAAAAGCCCTTATCAAATTAATCGAGACCAGGTGCAGTTGTGCAGATAAAAAGCGTACGATGGACCCTCATTTTTTCATTAAAAAGTATTACTCGAGAATAAACAATCTTCAATTACATTAACTATGACTTGGGAAGAGATTGCAAAAGCCAAAAGAGAAGCTGTCTTCAATAAAATTCCAAAAGAATGGATAATTGAAGTACCATCAATTGAAAAGGAGCCTAATGCTGTTAAATACCTAGACAAAGTTTTACCTGCTCAAGAAACTGCTATTGTGAACCATTCAATGATTGAGCTCATTGATAAAATCGGAAAGGGAGAACTAACATCAACTGAAGTCGCCAACGCTTATTGTCATCGTGCTGCTTTAGCTCATCAAGTATTTAACTGCTGTTCAGAAATCTTCTTCGAGAGGGCCATTGAAAGAGCTAAAGAATTGGATGCTTACTATAAAGAACATGGGGAAACAATTGGCCCATTGCATGGTATTCCTATCAGTTTGAAAGATCAGGTTAATTTGGAAGGATTAGATTCATCACTTGGCTTCATTTCCAAGGTCAATAAACCCAAAACAAAAGAAGATGAGTCCATTATTGCCAAATTCCTTTATGATTCCGGTGCTATATTCTATGTTAAAACTACTGTTCCAATGGCTATGATGGCTGGTGATACTTTTTCAAACATTTACGGTCAAACTGTTAATTCCTTGAACAGAAATTTATCAGCTGGTGGTTCAAGTGGTGGTGAAAGCTCATTGATTGCTGCAAAAGGTGGGATTATTGGGCTGAGTACTGATCTTGGTGGTAGTATTCGTATTCCTGCTGCGTTCCATGGTTTGTTTGCCATAAGACCAACATCTTATAGATTGCCTTATGCAAAAGTTGATAATGCAATGGCATTTCAGCCAATTTGTCCATCAGTTATAGGTCCTTCAGCTAGATTTTTAAAAGATTTGGAATATCTTTGTAAAGTTATAATTGATTGCAAACCGTGGTTACATGATCCCAAAACACCACCTATCCCATGGAGACCATTTGAAGTTCCTTCGAAATTATGTTTTGGTATTTACAAGAATAGTGGCTTAACTCATCCTCATCCACCTATTGCAAGAGCAATTGAGTTAACAAGGCAGAAATTGATTGAAATGGGCCATGAGGTGATTGAATGGGAACCACCAATTCCACATGAATTTATCAGAGATAATTTAAACAGCATCTTTACATCTGAAGGTTTCAATGAAATCAAAGAAGAATGTGCCAAATCAGGAGAACCAGTTATTGGGACTCTTGTTGCAGGAGAAACAGCTAATGGTGAACTACTAGTTTCTGAGCATTGGAAGCAGGTACAAGTCAAGTATGAAACACAAATGAAGTATGATGAGTATTGGAGAAGTACTATAAAAAAGACTTCCACAGGGAGACCTGTTGATGCTTGGATCTCACCAGTGTGGGAATCAACTTCTCACTTGGTTGGAATTGGACAGCCTGATTGTACTGGGTACACCTATCCTGTGAATTATCTTGATCTCTCAAGTGTTATTGTTCCAATCACAAGTGCTGACAAGTCTATTGATACTATTTATGAAGATTTCAAGCCATTCAACGAAGGTGACAAAAGAATGAATGATACTTATGATCCTGAATTTTTTGATGGAATGCCTGCTTGTGTGCAAGTCATTACTTCTCGTTATGAAGAGGAAAAATGTATAGCTTTGGCTGATGTTGTGTATAGAGCTACTCATTAATCTTGTATATAGCGTTTATGTCAACCACATGTAGAAAACACAAAGCATTACTATATTCAAATTAAAGCTATTTTCTTGTGATAGAGTAGGAACCCATTCATCACACACTTCACTAACAATGTTTTGTTGAAATTCTCCAATTTGTTATTATTCCCATTCAGTTTTATTGTTCTGGTTGCTTCCTCCACCATTTTTCCAGCGCAAAAAAAAAAGTAAACCCGTTTAAAACCAGATGAATCTTGCCATTTCAACATCACAACTTCATACAATCAAAGGCCATGATCTTGCTTCCAATTCTTGCGCTAGTGGCAATTACGTTGCTGATGCCATGGATCAGTGTCATCGTGAATGAGCGTATGCCTCAATTGAGTGCCCAATTTTGTAAGTTGGCAGGTCACAAGATTCGTCTTCGTTTGTTTACAAAGTGGACAGTGTACTAACATTTGAATCGTGATAGCCAAATTCCTGTCACAACCAGAGCCTGAACCTATAATAGAGAAGTTCATAGAGGAGAATGGTGGTCTTGAGAATATAACTGGTCAACATTCATCTAAATTGTTGAATCTCAATCCTCATGATGTCTTGAAAGATGTCAATATTTTCATCGGTGAGACCAAAGAGTCATTATATGATCAATGGATTGTGCTTTATGATAAACATGCTCCTGTCTTGTTAACCGATAAAGTTGATAGCGCGCTTTCCTTCATTCGTTCAGATAAGGTCTGGCCTTACTATGAAAAGTATCAAAAACCAATTGATAATTTGCTTATTGGTTTAGCAATATTGATACTATTGAGAGTTGTGAAAGTGTTGGCCAGATTAGTGAAACCTGCAAAGACAATCAGAGAAATTGATGAAGTTACCAAAGTGGTTCTTACTGAAAAAGATTTTGAAACTATTCCAATTTGTGTTGGTAAAGGTGACGCTGAAGAATTGCTACTAATACAAAGTTACGCTGATATATTGAAAAGCTCAAATGATGAAGAAGTTTTGAAAAAATATGGCTATGATAAAGATTTCAGTGATACAAACAGTAAGAGTGACCTAAGTATACTAAATGATTTTTCACCTTCAAGAATTGATTCCCCAAATGATTTCACCGCATCAGATGTTTCAGCAATCTTTCAAACAAACCAAGATATTGGATTGGATGCACCTGTTGAAATTGAACTCAGAAAAGGTACAGAATCACCATCATTAGAAGATTCGTTTGAAAGGGCAGAGAACATACTGGATAACAAACTAGAATCATTGAACAGTTCAAATATGGTTGTCACTCCATCTTCTGGAGGCAATTCAATTGATCAATATTCAACCTCACCTTCAAAATTGATATATAAGAAAACTTCAATTTCGATATTAACCAACAATACCTTCCCAACAACAGCTTCAGTCGCTGACACAACTGTGGGTGATATAACTGAAGAAACGGTCTATTCTGAACCATTTGCAGGAGATGAAAACACTTCTTTTAAAGACAGCTTATGATTTTTATGACCCAACTATCTTGCCCTTTGCTTTTACTTGACCAATGATAACAAATGTATTATTTTGCTAGAGAACTTGATGAAATCAGATTCGTAGAATTAAAACCACTAATGCAATGTAACTCATTATGCTAATCAGCCCCAATAACAGAACAATATTACCACTTGTTTTATAGTATAATGTCTTCCCTGTATCTTCGAAATAATCCTTCATCTGATGAGTTCGATAGATTGAAATAAGGAATATGATTGAGCCATAAACGGTGAAGACTGTGCCAATCGGCAAGAACTCTTTCGCAAAGATCTTTGTAACCAACAATGCTAGACTGTAATTAGATAAAAATGATTCAGTGTCATACATTTATCAATCACTTACCAAATGCTAATGTTGCAATTGAAGCTCTTGTATATGCCCCATCATATGTTCTCTGTTGAGCTTGTGTGAGTTAGTAAACAATTTGTCAAGGGGTGGTCTCAACAAAATGACATACCTCTGATATCGAGCTTCTGGCTGTTCTTCAATGCCATAAAGTTTGATGAGATTGTTCTTTGCAGATGGAGCATACTGATTAGATTTGTGCCAATTTGATCTGTAATCTGTAACCATAATTGTGGCTTCAAGAATGGTGATGACGATTTAATGCCATAGTTTATTTTTCTTCATCGGCCTTTGAAATTCGAGATAATCAGTGCGATACAAAAGGTATAAACTCATCGTATTCGTAACATTGAACAAAAAGCCAGGATTGGCTTCCATAAGTTCTCATAACTATTATATACAGGTAACATTATCTTTTATCTTGGCCCTACTTTTCAAGCAATGGCCCCTAAACTCATCAAAAGTAGTTGAAATAAAATTTGTAAAGTCCAAAAACCAACTCTCTTGATTCTAATCGTCCTCACTTCTTCATTAGCAACATAGTTTGCAAATGCATCGTAAACTTCTATACTCATGTCGTCCATTAACAAAGAATCATAAACTGTCCAACTTCCATCAAAATCCTCCAATTTCTTCACAATACGACAGTTTATTGGGATATAAGTTTTTCTTGAATTAATATAACCAACAATTGGTCTAACCAGCGCATTGTTAACATATGACAAATCATTTGTGAATATTGGAACAGCTGCTTTGACATTGTTTAACTTGATTTGTAGATCCATGATGAAATATTTTGTAACATCAGTATTGCTTTCCTCGGTTTCTTTTGATTCAGGTTTTAATATTTTGGCTCTTCTTGCCTCTTTAGCTAAACTATCTGTAATTGCAGAGAGTATTTCAACCATATTCACACCTTCATCTTCTGGAACCATAATGTCTCCAATCATATCAACTTCACCACTTGTAATCCATCCAAATGGTCCTTCTAACCCAGTGTTCAAATGATCAACGTTTAAAGCATCAACTCTACATCTTGTCACTCTTTTCCACGGTGAGTTCTTATCAGCTGAATCATCTTTGAAATCATTGATTCTTTGACGCTTATGAATGGTGAATAAGGAATCATCATATGAACCTGATATATTGTTTGCATTCAAGAAATCATAAAACAACCAATTCTTTCTCAATATCGGCAGATCACAACTATAAATACTAACATTAAAAGGCCTGAATCCACTAGGTTGTGCTAGGGTAAATAAAACATCATTCATCTTAAAGTTACTTATTTCAAAATCACCTTGTCTATGAATGTTTTTATAATTTCTTGGATCATCATCTTTTGCCCAACGAACATGGGTTCTATCCACTATACCTCGAAGACCATTAACTTCAACTTCGTCCAAGATACCACGCCCATTGACAAACTTGCTAAAAGAAAACGAAACATTCACTTGGTCAATAGTTAAATCAAATTGCGTATAATTACCATCATCATAAGGTTCATCACCATCAGCTTCTGAGATCTGTCCATCACCTCGAGCAACAGCATTTGCAATGGCATCTGCTTGAGAACCTTTCTCAAATTTACTTTTATTTCTATTTTTTGGTCTTTTGGAAACAAAACATTTGTTAAAAGAGATCTTACCATCTCTCCATCCTGGAACTATAGCACTTTCAAAAACAACAGTCATTCCTGTGTTTTTTGTGATGAAATTACCCAATGTCTTTGCAACTAATTCTTGGGCAAATACCGTATTCATCAAATAAATTATCAAAGATGCAAACGTTGTAGTACCCAATATGATCAACAAAACATTACCCATCACTATCCAGGAGAAAAAAGCACTAAAGTCATCAACATTGAATGGTCTCATGCTCCTCTTGAGTAGCCATTTTGCTCTTACTCTCATTCTTTGACTGAAACCATTGGCTCTAGCTAAAAATTCCTCTTTGGTTTTAGGAACCCAATCTAGCTCCTGTTTCGGGAGTTCCTTTTGTGTCTCCTTTTTCAAATCATTCTGTATATGCTTATTTAGTTTCTTTGGGTCATCATGGTTAGTTGAATAGTATCTTTTGTACTGAAGCTTTAATGAATTTTGGGTATTTAATGCAGATGAGATGTATCTAAAAGTAGACTGCTTCAATTGCGGCGTGAATTTTTGGAACAAGGATGGCAATCGAGCTTTAGAGCACAGAAGGCCTCTTGAAAAGAACATTCATGAAAATTGCCAATTTAAGGGGAATTGTGAGGTTGAAATTATTGGAAAGTTGTGAGTTGATGGGGGTTGTTTTTTGGTTCACGTTGCCTGCCTTTGTACGAGTAATAAAAATTGCTTCTCGATCTGCCAAAAGTATACGGGCTCCTGAGAAGTCCAATCCTGTAAACGAGAATTTATTCAACTAATTTCTACAATTTCGAGGCATTACCTTTGTTCTTTTGGTTCTTTATTATATTTGTTTGAACTTCAAGTCCCTATTGTACATTATGTTGTATTTTCTTTGCTGCTCATGAACTCCATCCTCTTGCAATCATGGATTTTTCTAAACTATCCCAAAAATGATTCAACACTTGTGCATCTTTAAATCTCTTGGACTTGTCTAATCCTATCTTTTCAACGTTCCAGTCATTGACTTGTGAAGGTATGATATCACCATTGTAGTGGAAGAAGTAACCTTTGATCTTTTGAAATAGTTGTTGAGGATCTGACCATTTATAACTCTTGAATTGCCATTGTTGACCTGTAGTGAAAATTGCAACAACTCTATCCCAGTATTCGGCCTTAGTGAATTTATCTGTATTATTAACAATCAAAAAAGTTTGTTTACCGATTCTTGGGAAAGTATGTGAAACGTTTCTAATATCACCACCATAATTCAATAGTTCTTGAACTTTTGGATCTGCAGAGTTTGGATCAAGGAATGTAGATTCATCAAAAAATGGTTTAATATTTGCAATAGATATAAGGGCAGATGCAGCTGGAGAGATTAGTATAATTGGATTTTGACGTCTTTTCTTCTCTGGTGGGCCAGCAGTGTTCGTGCTTGATTTTGAAGATGGAGCTGTGCTTCCCCCTTTTCTCTTGAGAACTTTAACTATTTTAATTTCACATTCACGACCAACATTACTGAAATCAACAGCTTTAAACCCCCTTAGTGCAGTATTATGATCAATTAAATGACGTTCATTATTAAGAATCTGCTCTAAGAATGGATCATCAACCTCCATTTTATCATCACCTGCTGGTTTTCCTTCTTCTTCAGCTTCTGATTTCTTACTGATAAATTCTGATTCATCTGAGTCTCCCTTTAACCACGTAATCAAATCAGTTCTCTGCAAAAAGGTTAATGTTTGAACATTTTTACTTTGAGAATCAGCTAAAAATTCAGCGGCTGATAAATCTTGATTGAACCAACAGTATGCTGCTACCTTCAAACTGATTGGTTTTGTCTCTATTTCAAAAATCGTGTCTTGATTTAAATCTAGTATTGTTCCATTTTGTAATTTCAAATGTGTAGCTTCGTTGATGTCTTCTGTAACTGGAGAATCAGCATTTTCACCTTTCACCAACACAGGCTTGCCCTTCTTCACAATATCCTTTCTCAATAGGGTTAGGCTATCTGACATGACTAATTGAACCTTGGATAAACAGTCAAATTGTTGAACGTCTGATTGGAAGTTGATTGTTTTGACGTTATTATGCCTTTCTCGATCATGAAAAGTTCGAAATTCTGAAAATTTACCCTGTGTTGATGTTTCGCGAATTGGCACACAAAAAAGATCTATCAATGGATTAATAGAATAGAAACGAAAGTGAAGTTATAAAAGAATTCCATTCTTATAGACCGTCTTCGCTCATTTAAATCCCCGAATACCCTTGGTGATTCAAAGGTTGTCATTCACCTTCCAACATGAGCCTAAGATTTCCAAAACATTTTCAGATCCTCAAAAGCTCCATACGGACATGTTCAACAAAAGCTTCTGAATCCTCATCAGTCTCCAATCTGTCAATTGCTACTAAACAGCAGCTGTATATGATTGATCAAGTGACTCCTGGATCAATATTTTTCCTACCCCATGGCACAAGAATTTTCAATAAGTTGATAGCATTTATGAAAGCTCAACAGAGAAAGCATGGTTTTGAAGAAGTTATCACACCATTAATTTATAGAAAACAACTTTGGGAAAAATCGGGTCACTGGGATAACTATAAAGATGATATGTTTAGAGTAGAAGGAAGTGATGTTGAAAAAGAAGAATATGGTTTGAAACCAATGAATTGTCCTGGTCATTGTTTAATATTTGATAGATTTGACCGTTCGTATCAAGAATTACCTATAAGGTTATCTGATTTCAGTTCACTACACCGGAATGAAGCTAGCGGTGCTTTATCGGGACTAACAAGAGTTAGAAGATTCCACCAAGACGATGGTCACATCTTTTGCACACAAGATCAAATTAAACAAGAGATTGAATCAACGTTGAGCTTGATTGATAAAGTTTACAACATTTTCAAAATCCCAAATTACAAAATGCTACTCTCCACCAGACCCGAAGAATTTATTGGTGAAATTGAGGAGTGGAATACTGCTGAAGATGCATTGAAGGAAGTTTTACAAGGTACCGGGAAACAATGGGAAATCAATGAAGGTGATGGTGCATTTTATGGACCAAAAATCGATATTGTCTTAAAAGATCATACTGGTAAAGAACACCAAGCAGCCACAATCCAGCTGGACTTTCAACTTCCCCATAGATTTAACTTGAAATATACCACAAATCAGAACGGTGTAACCAAACAACCAATTATGATTCATAGAGCAGTTTATGGTTCATTAGAAAGATTTTTGGCCATCCTAATTGATCATTTCAACGGTAAATGGCCATTCTGGATAAGTCCAAGACAAGCTGTCATAATACCTGTTTCTGATAAACATATTCCATATGCTCAAGAATGTGCAAACATTATCAATGCTGAAAATCAAAGTGACGAAGGCAAACTTATTGAACATAAATTTTACATTGATATTGATTCAAGAAAAGAGACAGTTGGAACAAGAATCAAAGAAAGTGTAAAGAAGGGTTATACTTATATCATTATGATTGGTGATAAAGAACTGGAAGCCAAAAAAGTGGCCATAAGGCATTCATCTGAAAGAACACCACAAGTCATAACACCACAAGAAACCAGAGAGCTCTTTATTGATCTCGAAAACAACTACAAATAATCATACTCTTAAAAACTGTCATTTTTCATTACATGTATATAAAGCATATCTCTCTATGTCTATAGATATCATCATTTACCAATATTTTTTCTTGCCGTAGCCAATGTCGATGGATTGATTTCAGGTAACCCATGAATTTCAAACTTGAGATTACACAAGGGGCTATCATCATTTAAACCCTCCCAAAGATCATTTGGAAGATATGATCCATTGGTTTGGAAAAATGTATCTCTTTTTTTGTAATCATCTTCTTGCAAGGCTTGTAATTTTGTTTTGGCTTCATTGAAAACCTTCTCCATTGATAGCTGAACCCCTTGACGTCTGTCCAATTCCAAAATCAATCTATAGTATGACTCCACAAAACGTTCATAATGGTTGATTAATTGATGGGCCTCGTCACATTTTTCATTAATATCAGTAGACACAGCTTGGAAATCAATAGTTTGTTTATCTAATGTACTCATGACCTGCATTAGTTCATTCTCACCAAAGCTAGTTAAATCTTGGACCAAGTGCTTGAGTTTAATGTCATAAAATTTAGTTGATAGGTAACTATCGATCTTCTTACAACGTTGTTCAATATCTTCAATACATTCCTCTAGATCATTCAAAACATCTGGAACTTCTCGGAAATCTTTAGCCAAAACTTCAAACAATTCTGTCTTTTCAACTTCAGAAATTTCGGGCTCTTCGCCATCAAAGATCCTAGCACCCCTTGAACATTGGTCATAATGATTCGTGAGGGATTCTAGTAGCCCAGCAACTTCTTCCTCTAGTTTGTTATTTTCATCAATGAGATCGGAGATCCAGCCTGCATCATTGACTTCCGTGACGTCTTTCTCTAATTGATTGAACTGCTTGTTGAAACCGTTCAATTTTGTTTTGAGTGCCTCTTGTTGTTGTTCAATCACCACCACATAACTTTCACGGGACTTCTCTAATTCATCCTGTTTTGAAAGCAGTGTTTCCAGTACTTCATTTGAAACAAAATCATATAGAGTCCTATGATCCCCTGATAATAAATTTGCATCTATCTTTATCTGTTTCAGCTTATCAAACTCTTTTCTCAATTCAGTGAGCGAGAGTTCCAAGTAATTCTTTAGTGCTTTGACACTTTGTCTTCTATCATTCAGCCTAAGCTCGACTGAATCATGAATAGTTTCTAGTATTTGGACGAGCTGGTTGATGGAATCTAGTAAGAAATTACTCTTGATCAATTTGCCATTATTTGAACTAATTGTTGATTTGGTGGTTGTCAGCAAAGTGTTAGCCTTAGCACCCTGCGTTTCAGCAGCAGATAGCTTCTTTGTGGCATCCTCTAGCCATTTCTGAACCTCCTGCTCCATTTTAGTTGGGCAATTGAAAGATGTTTGTACCAAGTTGGAAAAGTCAAGTTGAAGTTGATGTGTTTCTGAAATGACAGAATTGAACCAAAAAAAAAACGACTAAAACTATCAAACACATTTTGTTTACTTTTGCAAAAACATCGAATTAAACCCATTATTGGATGATATGAGTGACAATGAAATTATCAATGAGGGCCTTCAGAGGAAACGGAAACTCAACTTGCTTGATTTTATAAAGAATGATGGTCATGAACAGCTCGAACAAGAAAACCCAAACAAATTTGAGCCAATGAATTTCCAACGACCAACTACTGGACTTGGTGGTCCAAAACCCAGAGATGATTATGATGATTATGAAGGAGGAGAGGATGTTGAAATGGAAGATTACGACAGTGATATACGACCTTCTTTTGGAGTCGGTAAGAATCACAATATGTTGTTTACTCAATCTACACCAATGATGTTTCAAAAAGCCAGTGATACTAAAGATGAAGATATAATACCCCAGGAGCAACCCAAAGAGGAAGTGAAACCCAAACTATCATACTCAGATGTTGAAGCATTGGAAAATAAACCAACATCGGTTACTAAGAATACATTTAAAGGAAAAAAATACGGTATTGGTGCCGCATTATTGAAGAAAATGGGCTACATTGAAGGACAGGGTCTTGGTAAACATGGTCAAGGTATCACTCAACCTATCGAGCAAGATGTGAGGAAGGTCGGTGTAGGTATCGGTGGTGGTGTTGTGAAATCAACTAAAAAAGCAAAGGGGAAAATAGATGTTGATCTCTCAGAAGATGATGATTCAAGTGATGAAGAGTACTATAAGGATGTTTCCAAGAAATCATTATATCAAATTATTGTCGAGCTTGAGGATAAAGGTATATCTGTTCCTGCTGAGATCAAAAAAATAAGTGATGTCAATGTCCAGGACTCTCATAAACCGTTCATTATGTTGAAGAAGGCAGGTAATAATAATCTACAAGAATTAACCAATACATTGGATAACTTGAATAATGATCTTGAAGAATCAATGGCTTCATTGAAAATGGCGGAGTACGAAGAAAAAGAATTATCAGATAGTGCAAACGACATGAGATCCTTGTTAGAGTCTTATGAACAATTATCTGAAAAACTAGATTCATTATCTGAAATAGTCAATAATCCAGACTTACAGCTCTCCTTGAAAAGCAAAACACTCAGAGAAACCATTTCCACATTCAGTGATTTTGATTTCTCAAAGATCCCAGACATTGAAATACAAAAGACAATTATTGTGGCAATAAAACCTATAATTATAGACCTTTTCGCAAGATGGGATCCTCTTGATTTTACAGATGATTTTGTATTGGAGGAATTAATAAGTTGGAAGGAAGCAATACCATCGGATCAAAATGAACTATATGGCGAACTTTCCTATTTCCAGAGCTTGTTATATTCTATATGGTACCCCAAAATTGTTGATGCACTATCAGAATGGACAGTGGACCAACCTAACGTTGCCATTACATTGTTGTTGGATTGGAATGAAGTGATTGATAAATCTGTGGTTGATTATTTGACGAATAATATAGTTAAACCAAAGATTATCCAAGCTATTGAAGACTGGAATCCACTTACCCCAACAGATAATTCACCAATTGTTTGGATTTTTGAATACGTTCCATATTTAAAAGATTCTCTTGATGAGATAAAGCAAGAACTTGTTAATAAATATAGTTTACTACTTGAGCATTGGTCTCCAGCTGATAATATTGATGGTCTAGCCTCCTTCAGGGAACTTATCGGATATGAATCTTTCAAGGGATTAATCAAGAGGAAATTAGTCCCAAGGTTGGTCAAGTTATTGAACACAAATATCAGTTTCATGAATCAAAACTTTGAAGCATTGGATATTCTTCAAAAATGGGTGAATTTTATTTCCCATGATTCACTTGAGGTATTGTTCAGACTTGGTTTTTTCAATCAATGGAAAAGATCATTATATCATGAGCTACATCATAGAGATAGCAATTTTGGAGATATTTCTTCTACGTTTGAAAAATGGGTTATGAAGCTACAAGTATTTCATGACTACATCAATTTTATCCAAAGTGAAGTTTATGAGGCACTAGATATGATCAACAACTATCTTGACAATAACAAACTTGTGCCAATTCATAATAGCAGTGTAACAATTTCCAAAATCGTTGAATTAGCTACACAAGATCACACCAGAAAGAAAACAGTGGAGGAGAATGTTCAAGGTATTCCCTCTCATAGGTTGCAAATCAGCTTCAAAGAAGTTGTCGAAAGTTATTGCGCTGCTAATAATTTATTCATCACACCTATTAAGAATGATTTATCGTCGGGCCATTCCTTAATGAAGATCAGTGCTAATATCAATGGTAAAGATGGATTAGTTGCTTATATTGAAGAAGACGTGTTGTGGATTAAAGGTACTAATGGGAGATTTGAACCTATTTCTCTAGACACCTTACAAAATAGATTTTAATGATTAATGACAGATACAGCTACAAGAAATGTAGTAAAAAACACATCTAATTCATTCTCTTTTTTAACTTTTACTTGCCTATTTACAGTAGTGGAGAGCCTTCTTTTCTTTCTAATACAAGGTGGTTTAAATAATTGTTCATGCAAAAATCAGTTTGATTCTTTATTGACTGGAACTTGTTCAGTAATGATTGGGTTGACATCTGCACTTGGAATACTTAATGGTTCAGTAGTGGTAGTGGCAGCTGATGGAGCTTCAACAGCAACCGCAGCTTCAGCTTGTGGAACTTCTGCGTCAGTTGGGGCAGATTCGATTGGAGTATTTTCTTCATCTCTAATTTCTTCACTGTAGATATCTGGATATTTTCTAAAACATGTTTGCATATTTTTGAATTTCTCAATACAATCAAAACCTTTTGGATCAGCTTCTGAATAGATAAAACAACTGAAGGCTTCTTTGAACTCTTCACCACATGGACCATTAGCCATACCACCTAAACATGGACAATCCCAGTTGATTTCACCAGTTTCTGGATTATATGCAGATTGTTGCTTTTCACCTTCTTCATTTTCAGCAGCTTTTGGTTCTTGAGTTTCCGGGGTAGTTACTTCTGTAGTTTCAGCTTTTGGTTTTGATTCTTTAACTTCTTTTTTAGTTTCTAAGAACAATGGTTGAGTCAAGTAGTATGAAGATAATCCGATTGCCATCAATGAAGTAGATAAAGCCCATCTGGACACTGTTTTTGAGCTTGTTCTAGTTGTAGAAGACAAAGATCTTCTTGAGCCTTGGTTTAGCAATAGTCTAGATGAACGTAGGACGGATGAATTTATTATACTTCTATGCATTGTTAATGGATTTGTGTTGATAGATGGAACTGTGATTAATGTTGAGATGACAAATTGTTCTTAATTGAACTTTTTGAAATTTTTGGAGGATTCAGAAATGGTTGAAGCACTCTTAAAAAGGGCCCATGAATTCGCGAGGCTTCTGAGATCGAACAACGGTTTCGAAATACAATATTAGTACAAAATTTTGAATGAAAGAAGCTCAAATGCTCCTTAAATGCTATTTAAAGCTCAAATAATAGATGTATCAGTTTATCACTCTAAGTATTGTCTTCTAAAGGACGAAAATGTCCATTTCCGAGCCAAATCCAAGGTGTTACCCTTCCTGGTTGCCATCAACAACAGTGCAATTGTAATTGTGACAACTACGTTCAAATTCCCTTTCAACATCTAGCAACAACAACATACACATCACAATCATAAAGCAAAGTCCATATCATCATGAAGATCTATTATATTGGTGTTTTGAAGAATACTCCAGGCTCAGACTCTGTCGAATTAGCTCAAGCAAAAGATCTATCAGACTTCAGTTTCTTTGAGAGAAATGGTGTTTCACAATTCATGACATTCTTTAGTGGCACTATCTCCAAAAGAACGGAAGCAGGTAAAAGACAAAGTGTTGAAGAAGGTAACTACGTCGGCCACACCTATACCAGAAGCGAAGGTGTCTCTGGTGTTTTGATTACAGATAAACAATATCCAGTTAGACCAGCATATACATTATTGAATAAAGTTTTAGATGAATTCATTACTTCACATCCACCAATTGAATGGAAAAACTTGTCAGAAACAAACCCAAGCCTACAAATGCCTGAATTACAAACATACATCAAGAAATATCAAGATCCATCACAAGCTGATTCCATAATGAGAGTTCAACAAGAACTAGATGAAACTAAAATTGTATTACACAAGACAATTGAAAGTGTTTTAGAAAGAGGTGAGAAGTTGGACAGTTTAGTTGATAAATCAGAAGCGTTATCTGCAAGTTCTAAAACATTTTACAAACAAGCAAAGAAGACTAATTCATGTTGTATTATTATGTGAGAGTGCTGCTTTAAGCTGAATAATGTTGGTCTAATGTGTGCGTTAAAGGCGACATTATAGCATGTGATACATGAGAGCTACCTATTGAACATTTGAACTAATCAATCAATTATATTTCCATTTTTAATTTCATTTTCATTTCGGGTTTATTTTTTTTAATTCGGTTTAGGTTTAATACAACATAACCATAAAATATAACCATTTTCGAATCGTAATATGATAACCAATGTTATAAATCATCTATATTTAGCTTTAACAGTCTAGTTATACCAAAAAAAAGGGGTTTCCCCCGAAAAAATCAAAAAATAGCGACCCCGGACAGGATCGAACTGTCGATCTTGTGATTAACAGTCACACGCCTTAACCAGCTTGGCCACGGAGTCATTTTCAAAAAATTGAAAATTTAGATGCAGTTTTGAGAAGCACGGCCGGTTTACATCCGAACACCGCAAATATTTGATATCCTCTTCAAGAAAGTGATATACCGAACTAAAAGGGCAGTGATGAGGTTTAATGTTATCAGCATGTCTCTATATGACTACTTAATTGGCTATGTGTCTGGGGATCCCATGAAAAGTACACGTTTTGCGGGACATGATAAATAATCTCGCCTGCAACTCAAAGAAATGCGTCAGAATACTATCATCAATATCAATATTAATTTCCTGCTGGCAAGTACTACACAATGAGCTGTCTATATACGCTTATTGATAAGCTATACATTTGTTTTAATGTAATTACGTAGTATAATGTAACAAAAATCTGCAATTGAACAACTCTCAAAACTTCAAATAGAAACGATCAATGTATAGATCAAATTGTTTTTGAACAAACTTAGCAACAGTGATATTTGTATCAACTTTCGAAAGAGAGTAAATGCTGTAAATACCAATCAAACTTATCAAATTCACTAAACCAGCACCAATTTTACGTTTTGTTAGACTTTTAACATTCAGCCATTTCATCCAGCCTGATATTATATGATATGTTGTGAATCCTATAAGTGATGGATACACAATCCAGTTCAGTATAGGGCCTGATGTGTGTCTCACGTCATTGAAAATATAAGAAATGTAGTCCAGTGAAATATAGCTACTATCACCTTCCACTAACAATGGTACAATTCTAGTTTGGAGAGCATGATAAGCAACTAATGGTACACTCAAATATCCTGTGGCTTGTAATGGAGATAAACCAAACTTTCTAAACAAATAACTTTTTCTGAAACCAAAACCAAAGAAATTTGTGATACCACCCATTAGACCAACTTCAGAATCGTCATTGACACTAACTTCACCATCATAACTTTTTGAAATTGTATCTTTATCAAGTTGACTATTGCGCCTTTTCCTTTTCAACTTATTATCAAGAGCTTTTGAGCCACCATATTTCTCTCTATATCTTCTGTTTCTTAATATTCTTAACGTGATACCACTCAGGACATGAAGTGATAAACTACCCCAAACTAATATGTTTTCTAAACCAGATCCTTGATAAATGGTTCTACTCATTGAAAGCATTTCATTTCCAATACTTTCAGAGATTACTGGACCTATCATAACACTGGTACCATGAAGAAATGAAAATATTGTAAACGTATAAGATGAGTATTTTTGGATTGAGGACAAGATGGGTATTAGTCTTGATGAATTTTTCTGTGATGGACCGAATGATGGACTGGTATATTCATCGGTGAGCTCTAAAGGAATTGGTGAGGCTGGTTTCAACTTTGATGGATCCTTAGAAGGCATTTTAATATGATTTGTTGGCCCTTTGCATAGAGTAATTGTTCTAATAAAGAGATTACATTCAGTATTATTTCATTGGTTCGGCAAGAAAACGCTTGAGAATTCGCGAAACAGTACTTAAAGTAGTGGCCGGTTGCAAATTTGGTGTTATGTATGTGCAGCTTAAAAAAGGTGACAAAACATTTGAGCCAAATTTAGCCAGCTTTATTACAATTGTACTTAATCAAAGATGGATTTATTGGTATCGGAAAATGAATCTTCAAGCAGTGAAGTGCTATCAAACTCTAGGCAATTGAGTGAACAAAGAGGAAGAGATGAACAGACGAGGACAAGCTCAGGATTTCCCACAAAGATACGACAAGAAGAATACCAAAGTGCACTATCCACTGATGATGAAGATGAAGAGGAGCAAGAAAAGTCAGACAGTCCTAATGACCGCGTTGCTGATATCAAGAATGAAATGCTCAAGTCCAAGATAACCACGTCTGCCTCGGTCATGTTAACAAGACTGCCCCCAAATTCTAGTAAGGTCATAAAGGAAGTTACCAAAGAAACAAATTTTAAAAGTAAGTTTAACTAAGACTCTTAGTTGCACAATACTAATATGACCTAGTTACAATAAGATGCCAACCGATAGGGTCAGCTCCTCAATTGAACCCGACAGTGTTCAAAATTTCAGACACACAACCGTTTGCTACATTGATCAAATTTATTAACAAAAAACTAAAGAAGAAACTACCGAATAAAGAAGATGTGATATATTGTTATGTCAACAATTCATTTGCACCATCTCCTGATGAAATCATTGGAAATTTATATAAGGTATGTTATATTTTGAAGCTTTTATTTTGGGGGTACTAACGTTAGCTTAGCACTTTGCAACTAACAGTGAATTGGTTGTCAGTTATTGCAATGTGGTTGCTTTTGGATGAAATAGCTACTGGAGCCCAAATTTAACTATTAAGTATTAGATTATTAATTCTATACACAATAATGCAAATGATGACGATGATGATTATGATGCAAAGGTATGCTATTAATTTGTGGTAGCATTGACGGCTTTCAACTTGCGAGCTTCTTCTCTTTCTTTTCTCTTTAATTGCCAACCAGAAGCATATTTTAATGGTATAAGTAATAATAAGGCAGCTACAGCACCTAAGGCTGCTAAGAGTGTGAATGTTCCTCCAACTGTCATGCTTTTGTTCATAGAAGCCAATGCAGCGATGAAGACAGCACCTGTAATACATCTTGTTAAATTAACAGCAGAAGTTGCAGCAGAGCTCTTGGAGGGATATAAATCAATCAACAATGTGGTATTTATTCCATTGACCCCCATGCAACCATAACTGATGAAGAAAGCACTGACTAAAACACTGGCAACATGAACTCTTTGGTCTAAACACCAACCGAACATTATTGTAAATAGGTCAGTCATTAAAGCATAAGGAACTGCAATCTTAATACGAGTTTTGAAATGGTTGAATACTTCTTTCTCACCAGTTAGTCCAGCTTTTTGTCTATCCTCAAATTCCTTCAAAGATCTCCTGTAATACCAATCCAATAAACGACCAGACATAAATGAGCCAAATAAACCACCAATACCACCGGGCAAATAGCATAAACCGATCTTCATCACTGAATAGCCATAACCCTTAGATAATTGATCACTTAGTTCTGTAAGCTGTACAGTCCAAAGTGCAAAATGTATAGCACCTGTCAACAAACAAAGTGAGACTTCTGGAACACCAAGAATTCTAATGGAGCTCAACAAGTCGATCTTCCCTTGTTCAGCTTTTGTTGATAAATCAGGTTCATTCAAACGCCATTTTCTTTGTATATTTGGTAATAATAATATTGGAGATTTGTTAATAATGGACTTTGGTTTTATGGAACCATTGCCAACAATGGACCTTTTAGTTTCTGGTAACAATAGAGAGTCGAGGATAAGCACAACACCACCACCAATAGCTAAAAACCAGAAGATTGCTCTCCAATCAAAACCTGCAATCAACCCAGCACCGATTAAGGACCCAAATGCTTGACCCATTAGTGTAAATCCAGTTGTTAAACCAACATACCAACCTCTTTCATGACGGAGAGTGTAGTCACCAATAACACCACAACTTATAGAAATAGCTGGTGATATACCAGCCGATTGAATACACCTTAATACTAAAATCAGTGCGTAAGAGTTTGAGACTGCAAGACCTATAGAAGCACCAATAAATATTACCAAACATACTAAAAGCACTGGTCTTCTTCCATACTTATCAGCAAATGCAGCAAAGAAAGTTGGTGATAAACCTTGAAAGACCATATAGACGACAACAGAAACATTCACCAACTCCTGATCGATATGGAAATAACCTTCTAAGATTTGTAGAGCTGGATAATAGATTGGTGAGCCAAATGAAGACCAAATAGCTGTACTTGATGAAAGAAACACTAGTAAATATTTCTCATTGACAGAAAACACAGTATGGTCTGGCATGCGTTGTGAAGAAACTTGATGCATTTCCTCATCCTTTTCACCTGCTGAAATATTAGTCACTGATCTGGAGGTACCATCATCTGCCTCGTCACAAGAGCCTACTCCTGCTTCAATATTTGAGTGTACTTGATTCACTGAAGTCATGTTTGCCTGTACCGAAAACTTTGTGTAATATTATTGAAACATAATTGCGGTTGAGCCAACCTATATATATCTCAATACACTTGAGTCCAAACGCTTAAGTAACAATACTGAGCGGATATACAACTGCTTTTATTGCAATTTTTGGAATTTTTCATTCCCTTAAACCCAATAGCAGATTTTGCTTTTTCCATTCACGGAGTTTCATCCAAAAGAGGAAAGCGGCCGAGATTGAAAGGATTTAAAATTGTACCATATTATTCATTAAATTCTATCAGATCCTTTGATATATATACTCTATTCAATTCCATTCCATTAAAGCTACCATACCCATTATTAATTTAGTCATTTCGTTTCCGTTGTTCCCTAGCATCTCTAGCTGCGCTCCATTTCATACCAAACTTTAAAGGAATGTATAGTAGAGCACCAGATATCAACCCTAAAGCACACATCAATGTAAAAGTACCACCGATTGTCATACTTTTGTTCATAGAAGTAAGTGCTGCAACAAAAATAGCACCTGTGAGACACCTCGTGAGATTAACACAGGAAGTAGCAGCAGAACTATTTGAAGCATAGAGATCAATCAGTAATGTAGTGTTAATACCAACCAGAGCCATGCACCCATTTGAAATCAAAAATTCACTCACTAGAACGGTTGAGACATGTACCTTCTTTGCCAAACACCATCCATACATCAATGTAAACCCATCAGTGACAATAGTATATGGAACAGCAACAAGTACTCTTGATTTCACAATATTGAATTTCTCATATTCGCCGATTAGACCAGCCTTCTTTTTATCTTCAAACTTTACATATTCTCTTCTATAAACCCAATCAAGTATACGACCTGAATAGAAAGAGCCAAAGAGACCTCCAACACCAGCTGGTAAGTAACAAAGACCAATCTTCATGACTGAATATCCATAAGATTTTGACAACTCGTTCGTCAATGAGGTTAGTTGAACTGTCCATAATCCATAGTGAATAGCACCATTCAATAGACATATTGCAAGTTCAGGCTTTTTCAATATTTTTAAAGAGGCTAAAAAGTCAGTTTTCTTTTGTGGAGCAAGAGTGGAATAATCAGGATCATCAAGATCCCATTTTCTTTTATAGTAAGGGATCAATAGCGCTGGAGCTCTATCGATAAAGTGCTTTGGTGTTATTGATCCATTTCCCACGATGGAACGCATTGTCTCTGGTAAGCAACACAACATCACTAAAAGTGTAACACAACCACCGATAGCCAAAAACCAAAAGATAGCTCTCCAATCGAATGCTGCGATTAAAGCTGCACCTATTAGAGCCCCAAAAGCTTGACCAAAAAGTGTAAATCCACTTGTCAATCCAACAAACCATCCTCTTTCTTTACGTTCTGTCCAATCACCCGTAATACCACATGCTATTGCCACGGCAGGAGAAATTCCAAATGATTGTATGCATCTCAACACTAATATTAAAGCGTATGAGTTGGAAACGGCTAATCCTATTGACGACCCTATGAATATCAGCAAACAAACAATCAAAACTGGCCTTCTCCCATATCTATCTGCAAATGGGGCAAATACTGTAGGTGATATACCCTGACAGATCATATAGACCACCACAGATACATTCACTAACTCCTCGCTGATGTCAAAGTAATTCTCCAATATTTGTAGAGCAGGATAGTAAATCGGTGAACCAAACGACGACCAAATAGCTGTACTAGCTGCCAATAGAACTAGGATATATTTCTCAGATTTATCAAAAACAGTATGCTTTGACAATTTTTTAGTTGAAACATTATGATCCTCTTTCTTTTTCTTTTCTGAATCATTCACCAGTGGTGATGTATATCCTGAAGTAAGCCGCTCTTCATTTGACATTTCCTAAATTTGTAATGATCTAAATTTCCTTTTGATTATTATCAAGATATTTTCCAAATTTCAAGCACGCAGTAGTTTTGAGATAAACTGCAATATGATCAACCCCAGGCATATAGTTGAGCTTTATAAAGGAACCTATGCTTTTCAAGTACAACTTTTGAAAGGTGACCACTATTAATGAAGATGCATTCACTGATGTACAATAGTTTTCAAATTCGCGAAGCTGGTACACTTCATAAGCCAGTTCCGGCTTACCCTCGAAATTAGGATTTGTTTTGATTTTAAAACGTCAAACATAAATTCGATAGAAAACTTGCAACATTCAATAGGCGCCAATCGCATAGGAAAGGTGTGATAGAGGTTTCATATTTGATTTGAGTGGAACTTAATGGAGCAATCATCTACAAAGGTGGTTTTGACGCCCTCTTTTGCCCCTTATAAGATCGTGCTACTCACATTGATAGCTGCATATTGTGCTGGTATTTTACCAAAGAAAACTCATAGGCCATTACTCACTACAATAGTTAAATATATTGAGCGTCCCTCTATTTATCATGACACTGAGAGCTCTGTGAATGTCCCAACCCTTGATGAGATTTTGAGAAATATCAAAGAATCATGTTTGAAAGCTGATCCAGTGGAAGGTGTTTCGTATGCTCATGATATAGAACAAAGATTACTACATGCATTGTGGTCCTTGAAATCATTAGATTCACTACATTCATTTATTAACAGGGCAAGGTCAATGTTGACGAAAAACTTAAAGGATGCATCCTTATTTATGAATAGTAAACCTGCTGGGTCCGTTCCTAAATATTTACTCACAAGATCAAGTTTCTTGGGAAATTTCGTTACAACTTGCATTGCCAGCTTTGAAACACTTGAGTTTGATAAATCTGAGCTGCTATGGACATCATTTGTGAATTTTAGAATATCCAGTAAGTCAAAGTGGGTTAAAAAACATGCTGAAAGAATCCCTGATGTCCATGATTTTTTTGGTACAGCAGACAAAGATGATGACTTTTCTCAGTTGAAATCCGTCTTCAATTATTTGCCTTTGAATGAAAATGAGATAAGAGAAGAGATTGTTTTAGTATCACAAGAAGATTTGTCCAAGTTACTTGACCACCAAGTCCATATTCTTGAAACATATGGAACACCAACCTCTCCTGAGTTAAGACGAACCTTGGCACTTATGACACAAGCTGAAACAGGGAAACTACCTTCTATTCATTACATCAAGTATCTTGAGTCTTTAAGAAGTGCAGACTATGAAGGTGCGTTTTATTCATTACACCGGTACTTTGATTATATGATGAGTAACAGAAGAACTGTCTTTTACCACTATGCCTTGTTATGTTTGGCCACTTTGCATGCTGCATTCGATTGTGAACAGGAGGCTATTCGGGCAATTGAAGAGTCTATCTCTGTTGCTAGAGAGAATAAAGACTATACCTGTTTAAATTTTGTCTTGTCATGGTTATTCAATTTCATGAAGGATAGACCAACAATAAAGCATGACTTTTACCTTTCAAATACTCATCTTTTGCAGTTTTTGAAAACCAACTCTGGACTAACGTCCTCATCCTTACATTCCACTGCTTATCAATCGGAGGCCACACAGATCATGATGGAAGGTGGGTCAACAAGCTCAGTGTTAGAGTCATTAACAAAAGCTGCACATATATCATTGTCTGAAGATAGCTCTCTAGTTTCATTCATCAGTTATTGTGCGTTGGCCAGTGCTTTTTGGTTTAGGGTTGGTAACTATGATTTAGCGAAAGCTTATTGTGAAATCTCTTTGGAATCAAGTACGAGTATCAGCCAGAAGGTTTCCATTTTCATACGCAAGGCATCAGTTGAGTACTCGCTTGGTAATGTCGAAGAAGCATTCATTATTTTAGAGAAACAAAAGTCACTGGTATGCTCAGATTTAAGATTGAGCAAAGAGTTGGTGAGCCACAAACTTATATTGTTATCAAGGCAATGCATTAGAAGTTCACGTTGCAGGATGGCAAAATATTATTTGGAGAAACTAGAAGCACAACACCACGTCAACATAGATATTGAAAGCGAACTACAGTATTTAACTGCATGTTTACATCTGAGACTTGGAAATCTCCAATTAGCTTTTGACATTGTGTCAAAACAGACATCCACATATGCTAGGAAAGCCAGTAATAAATTTTGGTTTTTAAAATTCAGTTTATTACACTGTGAAATTATGAGCCAAAGCTCCACTCCTGCTCGTGCATTTTCTAGCACAATCAAATGCATACAATCAGCTTCAAAATCTGGCTTCACGCTAGTTGTTCTTGAAGGTGTTCTCAAGTTGGCCGATATATTAATGAAATTAAACAAACTTGAAGATGCTAGAGGGTTATTATCTGATTGTATTCCTTACTTTGAACAACTGTCAGACCTAGCGTTGAAATCAAAAGCATATCAAGTTATTGCTGAAGGTTTGATAAGCTTATTCAAGACTGAAGATATTGATAGGAAAAAGAAAATTCAGCAACTTACTAAGATTGTGGATCATTTGGAAAAGTCTATTGATGGTTTCAAGAAATTATCCATGTTTCAAGAGATAAAGAAATGTTTAGAGTTGCAGATTAGTATTGGGAAAAAAATCAATCATGAAGAAATGCTAAACCATGCCCAATCATCCTTGGTTAGTATTGATTTAAAAATCAAAGAAGAGTTAGCTATACAAAACTAGCTCAAATTACGAATTAAATGTTTAATGCCTTTTTCACTACAGTAGTCTGTGTTTTTTTTTAAATTATCGACCGGTAAACCCTATTCTATTAAAATAGATTTTTGAACATAGTACACAGAAAAACAAAATATAAAATGAACCTATTATTATTCGTTTAAATGAAAGTTTCGTATGGAACTGGAGCTAAGGTTTGTGGAACGTTACCAACAGTAGCAACAACTCTAGCATCTCTTGGTTTCGCTGGTTGACGTTTTAATTGGACAGCTTGACCAGTTGATTTAGCTTCAGCACGTTTAGCAGCGTTAGTTTTAACACGGTCTAAAAATTCTTGACGACATTTAGAGTGTTTGATGTGTTCAACTCTTAAGTTGATACGTTTTTCTAAGTAACGGTTACCAACAACTTTGTTGACAATAACACCAACTGATGATTTGGTAACGTTGTAGATGATACCAGTTTTACCGTGGTAAAATTTGTGTGGCATACCTTTTTGGATAGAACCGTTAGCTTTGATATCAACAATATCACCAACTTTGTAAATTTTCAAGTAGGTGGATAATGGAATAGCACCATGTTTTTTGAAGTCACGTTGGAAAGCGTAACGAGTACCTGATCTGTAACCACGACTAGTTCAAAATAGTTAGTAAATGCTTTTTATAAATGCATTGTTTGAGAGAGTTCATCAAAGCTCTTTGCTGTCTTGTCTCTGTAGCTGATTTCAGATTATTCTTAAATTTATTGAAAAACTAATTTACATCTTTTTGAGGATGTTTGAATTGTTCTTCACGATTTACATTTATCTTTTTATTTGTTTCCTTTACCATGGTCCATAATCTTGCTATATCTGAGATCTCTATTATCGTTTCTTCTTCTTTGATGACTGGATGTTGAAAAATATTTGAACGATTGAAAAAATAGTTTGAACTTCTTAACTCTTCACATAACTGATATAAAACGACACTCTACACTCTTCTGAACTCTCATCTCTATCTTATATCCACATACCTTTTACCCATTTTGTTCTATATTGATGTAGACTGGTTTGTAAGATGTGTGTAGAATTCAGGTTCTTTCAAGTGATTTTCAATTTTATCAAAAAAGAGTTGTGTTTTGGAAAATTTGAGTTTAGTTTGTCACGTGAATTCGTTACTTTCGAGGGCTCTTAACTATGTAGTACAGGTCGGGTCTAGAGGTGAAAATTTCAAAAATGTCCGGATGTTGGAGATAAATCTTGAAAATCTGAAAAAAAACCTTTAGAAATTAGCCCTATATGTGATCATGTGACATATGGTGTTTGGATGCGGTGTCCCACAAAAAGACTTCAAAGTTCAACGTTTTTGTGTTTTTGTGTCAAAAGTTCTAAAATCGATGTTTACACTACATCAACGGTCGAGTCCAAAATTCATTTATCGAAGCTGGATAGTTCACATATAGGAATAATTGAAGGTCTTCCGTGAGCACATTGAAATGGTGATTTGCACTTTGAAAGTTCTTTGATCATCTGCTCACATTCATTAACTGTTAGTTTTTTCCCAAACATGATTGCTGATCTACAAGCTTTGCTGTTAATGAGATCTATCAAAATAGTTGGAACAGCTTGCAAAGAGGACCACCAATCTTTTGAAAGACTTTTTAACTTTGATTTGTTGTGAAGATCATATAGGTGCTGTGCTAAGCATTTTTTCAAGAATGCTAGATCGGAATCAAGCTTGGGGATAAGTAAATCAGGAAGGTGTGTTATTGTGGCAACGTTTTCAGTATTCAAAACATATCTAATACCCCAAGTATTCAACTGTGCTTTATATTGGTGAAGTAACTCGGTTTCCAAGTTATTGAATTTAAGATCAAATTGGTTTTCACCTAGCTTTATAGAGAGATCATGGAAAGGGTCTTGTGCTGCTTCAATGAATTCTTTCAAATAACGTTCAACTTTTATTCTTTCATCACAGGCGTGTTGATCTATTATAAAAAGTCTTGACCTTGGTTTGTTCATCTTCACAAGAATGAATTTGGTATCCACTTGGGAAACAACTTCACAGCAGCTTTCCAATGAATCTCTCGAAATATTCACTTCCTGTACCAGTTGCAGCCTGTTGCTTTCAGCTTCGAAATCATACCCTTTATGATTATGACAGCTATGTTCCAGCTGCTGTGTTTGTTTGTTTGATTTGAGTAGCTTGTTCAACGTTGAAGGTAATACCATTTTATTGTGAGATGATTCACCATTTGTTGTTTGAAGCATTCCTGATATTTCTTTTTGATTTAATTTGCCCATCTTGAGTTTAGAGTTCAAAACTAGCCCAATTTCAGAACTGCTATACGTTTCATTGGAAATCCTCTGTCTTTTATCTTGGTGAAGATCGGTATTTGTGTTTTGCTGAAGTTTTGGATTTGAAATTTTTGCAACATTATAATCATTGGTCTTCAAAAAGCTTTTCATAATTTTAAGCACCAAAGGTGTAACAATATCAAGATATTTAGAAGATTCAATATCTTTGGAAGGGTTTTGGATGATATCAGATATAGACACTGGTCCCGAAATAATCACCACAAAAACTGGATACCTTGAATAGGGTGAACCCACACTGCTGGCTGATTTGGCTGGACTTCTTCCTTTATTGGGGGAGGTTTCCAGTTTAGACATTGAAGGAATCAATATATCAGGCTGTGATCCAAACCCTGCATTGGTAAACAACCTATTTATCTCTTTAAACAAATCAGGACTCTTCAAGACTCTGTTGTCCCAAATCATAAATTGATAAGCTTTTGATTGTACTGGTATTTTACCTATAACCCCAGTCACTTTATAATCAAGATAACTTGCATGCAACAATTGGTGATGATTCTTCAATGATATTCCATATATAGTACTGATTTTCCTTATGATATTGGTGTGTAAAGAGTCAGTGCAACTCCCATCAACTTTACATATAAGCTCTTTAGATTTGTTGGTGGCCTTATATGCGGTAATTGTTGTCTCCTGGTTGGTGAAAGTACATTGTGATATGACATCTCTAATTTCTTGAAGGACTTTGTAATCTCCTTCTTTCTTTGCCTGTGTTTTTCTAACTGGTACATTGGAAAATAGGTTGTTGACCATGATTAGTGTACCATGCTTTTTCGGCTGTTCAGTGAAAAGCATAGAATCTTCTTCTATGAGCTTTGGTTGAAACAACCTCTTTGAGTTACCAATAGATGTATAGAAACTTGATTCATAATCCAAAGTCTTTGATAAAATAACCATTGTTGACATTGAACCAATGGAATGAAGAGCTTGGCCTCTAAACCCAAACGTGGTAATTTTTCTTAGTTCATCCAATGTCTTGAGTTTTGAAGTATAGTTCAATGAACCAACTTCAGAAAGGTCGTCTGGAGACATGCCCACACCATCGTCTTTAACAGTGAAAGAAAGCGCTTGTATATCAATAACCACTTCAATATTTCTAGCGCCCGCGTCAAAGCCTTTTCTTTTGTTAGTTTTCAATTGAATGAAAGAATAAAAGTTAATAATTACTGTTTTGAATCACTTCTCGTAGAGCATCAGTTAAAGAGCTGATAACAACATGAGATCTGAGCACAACTGCAACATCTTTATCAAGTTTTTGAATGTTATTTTGTTGCTGTTCTGGCATTTGAAGTTCAATATCTGTTCATTTGGATTCACTACTGATGAGAGACTCTTGAAGGCTTGATCTCCTTTGAATCTTCTGAAATCAACAATTAATAGACCCAGCAGACAGCAGTCATGGACAAGTTCGAATAGTTGCGGTTAAATGATTGTGGTTCAACGTCTTTGACACAATTTTGAAAAAATATCAATCGGTATATACAGCATCTTTTAGCCTTTTCTACAAGATCATTTGAAATCATTAATTTATGACATTGGTCTCTATTCAAAATAACGGTAAGCTCCTAATATCATTGCATTATCAGGCAATCTTCCAGGAACGGGCATCAAGATTCGAAGCTTTGTCTTCGTATCATCAACATCAGTTCTAATTCAACAAAGTTAGTAACAATCAAAAAAAAATGGAATAAATAAGATAATACTCACATGACTGCAAACCCTAACACTCCGCTTCGCAGGAGAATGTCAACATCATCGTTTTTACCTGCTTGTAATATGGCAACAACACAATGTTGTAATGTTGAAGATGAAGGTTCAACTTTTTCAAGTAATTTTGGGGCCTTCGAGTCTCGTTCATCTGATTCATCTTCGCCAATTGGCAAAACAGATGAGATGTAATCATTTGTTTCAACATATGGTTTGTAAACATTAACCACTGTAAAATCAACATGAACGGTATATGGTGATAAAATAGTTTTTGAAGTACCGTAAAAGTACTCTCTAATGCTTTTTTGTTGAACTTGTCTTGTAAATGCGTCATCTCTTTCAACACAACCACCAGATTTTGGAACTTTAACGATTGTAACTTTTTCTTTAAATCTTTTTTTCAAATCAATATATAATCTTTCATTCCCCACAATGCAAAGAACATTGATTTCAAAATCTGAAACGATATCTTCAATTAATGAGGCATCTTTGATATTCAAAGGAGGTGTATCAACAATCATACCAGATTTGTTAACTTCTTCATCTTCCTCCATCCTACTGCAAACAGTGACACCTAATCTTGAGACATTATGCTTGTAGAATCCAAGATTTTCATCAATAGTTTCTAGCCCATAATATCTAACATTTGGTTGCTTTGGATGTAACAATGTTGGACCTGTGGTATACGTTTGACCCCAGCCTTGTTCGACGTCAAGAATGTCTGAAATTGGAGCAGCAGAAAGTGTACCTGGGATGGAATAAACACCCTGAGATTTGTTAGTAGATATCAATATGTAAATAAACCGCCACACATACCTCATTAGGATTCAAATTCACAACCATTGGTTGATGGTCCATTCTATTCGCATAACTTGCCAAAATCTTTGCCAATGTTGTCTTTCCAGAATCTTTAGCACCCAAAATTAACACTCTTGGACCTTTCTTTGTATTTGCCGCTTCATATCTTAAGTTTTCCAAAGCGAAATGCAGATTGATATAAGCATTCATTTGAGTTTCTTCAGATGTATACTCTGAAGAAACATTACCGGAGTATTCAATCTTTGCACCTTGATGTGAGTAAATTGCAGATTTTGTTCCAGTGAAACTGTATTCATAATCATTTGTAAGTTCTGTACCAAATATTTCAGCAATGCCTTCGAGAACCTAGTTTTCCTTGGTTAGTCTTCAACATTTCAGTGATATCAATATAGCACATACTTTAACAGTGGCAGTATCTTCAAACCCAACTTCAAATCTCCATTCTGATTTAGCACCGATTTCAACTTCTTCCTTTGCAAGTTTCTCCTTGAGTAAATTAGTTAGCATTGAGATGAAAATCAATAGAACAGAACAGCTACATACACTTGTATCGGCGTTTGCCAAGCCTGGAAGTGACATTTTATTGAAATTAATGGATCTATGTTACTTCGAAGAATGTTAAAAGTGGTGAAGTTGTTCTTGTTTATAATTTTTCTTTCCAACAGTACATTTTTAAATCTGTTTCGGGCACTACTATGGTAAACTTTTAAAATGAACGAATTATCAAGTTTTCCTTATTTTGAACGTTAAAGTCTATAACATCTACAGGTTACTATTTCTTTTGATTTAAAGTGACATAAGTTATTCCAACCGGTTACTCTCCTTTGATAATCATTTCAGGGCCAGCCCTTTGAGCATATTCACTAGGGAAAGTTATGGTTAGTATGTCAATCTCATTTGATAGATTTCTTGAAAAATTACTCACGTCCAGCTACCATCATAGACCTGAATCCCACTCTTGCTGAGACCGGCACTATCTAATGCAGCCTTCAAAATACAAGCAGTGACACCGGTACCACACATCACAATGGTTGGTTTTTCAGGATCAAACCCTGTTGATTTAACAACCTCTTTCAAAGCAGATGGTTCTAAAAACAAATTACTTTCACCAAGGACTTTTGGAAACGGAAGAGATTTTGCTCCTGGTGCGTGTCCACTTGGTAAACCTGGTCTTGGTTCAGGTGCCTCGCCTGTGAATCTATCATGAGATCTTGCATCCAGGATGTTGTATTTTTCTCTTTGGTCTTCGTTTGATACAATGTCATAAAACTGTTCAAAAGTCACAAATGCCTCTCTATCTATACCTGATGATTTGTACTCTGAAGTATCTGACGGATTTGTAGACTCAAAATGCTCAATTGGGTATTTGAATTTCTCATACTCAAGATAATTGTTCAACAAATAGACATGTTTATGGCCAAAAACTTGAAAAGTCCATGCAACTCTAGGAGCGGAAAAATTACCAGCTTTATCATAAACTATCAACTTGTCTGTTTTTTTCAACCCAATCCGTGATACACCAGAATTAAATTCTTCCACTGTTGGTAACATGTGGGGATAAGGGGAGGTTTTATCAATAACTGCATCCAAATCGAAAAATTTAGCATTTTCCAGTCTTTCTTTGATGAAATCAGCCTTAGAGTCTCGAGGATTATTTGGCATGTACCATGATCCATCAATTGGAATGACTCTGGCGTCTGATCTCGCTGTCCCAAGTAGAGCTCTAAAGGCAACTGGTGATAAAAGCTGGATAGGTTTTGTTGACATTTTAGCTGGCAATATGATTGTTAGATTTGAGGATTGGCAACTTTTTCTCAATTAACACTTTATACCTCAAGACTTCGAAAATGATGGTTTCTGGGCTGTTGAATCAGGTAGGATGGTGGTAATTAAAGGTGTAAATTTGTACTCGATCTTCAGTCTGGACTCTCTGGTAATCTATCACGATAGCGCGAAAATGTCGGAGAGCATCATGCATTGGCTTTGGGCCAATCACAACACATTTTGTTGTCTATTTTTGAAATTGACTTTCATCAATTCACTGCAGATATCTCTATAAATTACAGCAGCAGGTGTATTCTGTAAGCTACTCAACCAAAGTTGTACCATCTGTGCATGAAAGAAATATTAGTGTTTGATTAATAATTGATTACATAATCATAGTACAAATAATATCCAAATATCAAATTAATGATGTATTGCGTTATATTATTCAAAATCGAATGACAATAATTACATTTATGAATATTCCAGCACTCCCAGCATCTCGAATGAGCCAAAAATCAATATATGTTTTTCCAAGTTTTGTCAGAAGGTCAACGTAGTATTTGCAAACTTTTTTTTTTGTATACAATAACGTTTATTTCACTTATACTCATTTACAAATTCACTTATCTAAAAAAATTGCACTCTAATTTGTGACTCTAATTGAATCTTAGATGCATACAAAAAAAGACTAATAAAG